TACGTCTGCTCTCACGCACCTAAAATTCTCCGCCATTGTTGTGCTCGGGTAATTTGAAATATTGTGTTTAGCGTTTTTTTTTTTATTGCCTAGATGTGTAGACGATCTCACAGCCCACCTGGTGTTAAGTGGTTACTGGAACCCATAGACATCTACAACGTAAATGCGCCACTCACCTTGAGATATAAGTTCTAAGGTCTCAGTATAGTTACAACGGCTGCCCCACCTTTCAAACCGAAACGCATTACTGCTTCACGGCAGAAATAGGCGGGGTGATGGTACCTACCCGTGCGGACTCACAGAGGTCCTACCACCAGTAAAAGTGAAATAAACAAAAGGCAATAAAATTTCATATGAAGTATTAAACAAATCTTTGTTTCTCATCTGAGTTCATCAGACAGTTCTTATTCAATTAGTGGTAGTTTATTTAAAAATTAAAAAACAGTTAAATTGTTTTTTATGAGTATGCGGGGCTCCGCCCCCCCCAACCCGGCCAGGGCTTCGCCCCTGGGCCCCGGCTCGGTACTCCACGATCTTTCGGCCTGGTAGGAGGAAAAATAGTATGTGCACCGCGGGAAAATAGTAAGACATCTCATCCCGCGTGTTTGCAATTTTACACGCGGGAAGATATGTCCAACTTTCCTCCCTTGGTGCACAATGTAATATTGCTTTAAACGACATTAATCTTTGTGATTAAAGGTGCGTTTTATTTAGTATTATTAGCATCAACAGTTCGGTGTTTTTAATTGAATATTTATTAAGTTTACTCCATTCAAATAGTTGAAGAAGTTTTTTTTGTTATGATATTTTTTCCAAATGTTAAACTTTAAATGGCTTTCCTGTAAAGTTGCTAAATGCATCCCTGCTCCAGATGAGATATGCTATGTTTTAAGATGCGAACAAACATCACTGGTGGTAGGATCTCTTGTGAGTCCGCACGGGTAGGTACCACCGCCCTGCCTATTTCTGCCGTAAAGCAGTAATGCGTTTCGGTTTGAAGGGTGGGGCAGCCGTTGTAACTATACTTGAGACCTTTTAGAACTTATGCCTCAAGGTGGGTGGCGCATTTACGTCGTAGATGTCTATGGGCTCCGGTAACCACTTAACACCACGTGTGCTGTGAGCTCGTTCACTCATCTAAGCAATTAACAAAAAAAACATACACTTTGTACTTTACGGAATACGGCTTAAATGAGAGGCAAAAAAACTCACATATTTGATTAGAGAATTAAAATTTTAATTGTCAATATTCAAAATTAAATTTATTGATTCAAATAATTATTACTGCGTATCTAGATTGAAATTCGCTCCTTAGTCTTTCCTGAGCGCTAAGAGAACTGAAGGCAACGATTTAGCTGTGACCCGGCCACGATAAATATCGACTATTAAAACACTGAAAATATACTTTATCGATATTTGTCTAAGCACGATGGGACGTCACTAGCGAATGAACACTGGATCTATACTCGACTAACGGCATCCGTGTCGTATAGAACAAGTTTATTGCCGAATGTAAGCGATGGACATAATCTTGAATTTTATTGGCATATTTGTGCTAGCGCAGTAATGTTTTTTTTTTGTAATTCCGTTTTGGATATCTGTGCGTTCTTTTTTTTTTAAATCAATATTAGACAAGTCGAATCGTTTTTCGCGCTAAATTATGTCAAGTATATAAATTAGAGATCTATATCTATATCTATACTTCTATACTAATATTATAAAGAGGAAAGATTTGTTTGTTTGTTTGTTTCGAATAGGCTCCGAAACTACTGGACCGATTTGAAAAATTATTTTTCCATTAAAAGCCGACATTGTCCCTGATGAACATAGGCTACTTTTTTTTAATTTAATTTTTATATTTTTTTTTTTGTTTCATGGGTGTTTTAATGTTTCCGAAGCGAAGCGAGGGCGGGTCGCTAGTAAAATATAAATTTGTTTTTCGCGATTCGTAATTTTTTATTATTAGAAATATAAAATTTACTGATTTTTCTACTTTGTACTTATTTGCATTTTTACGTATATTTTTACTAGTTACAAAATTTTCATTTGAATTCATTCCGTTGATTATTACATATTAAATGAATTGGAAATTTTAATTTGCGTAATTACTGGTGGTAGGACATCTTGTGAGTCCGCGCGGTTAGGTACCACCGCCGTGAAGCCGTGATTTCTGCCGTGAAGCAGTAATGCGTTTCGGTTTGAAGCCCGGCGCAGCCGTGGTATCTATATTGAGACCTCAGAACTTATTATCAAGATGGGTAGCGCACTTACATGGTAGATATCTATGGGCTCCAGTAACCGCTTAACACCAGGTGGGCTGTGAGCTCGTCCACCCATCTAAGCAATAAAAAATTAAATAAAAAAACCCTTTTTTCTTGTGAATCAATTTTTTCACGTCACCAAGGCATAGCTAGTAGAAAAAATTTACTAGGTTTTCATAACTTTAAAGAGATATTTCCACTTTTCTAATTGACAAACCTATTGAGGGAGAGAATCTCATATAATTTTTTTTTCACGTCACAAGGCAAGCTAGTCGAAGAAATTTATTAGGTTTTCATAACTTTAAAGAGCTATTTTCACTTTGCTACTGAGGAATGTCATATAATTTGTTAACAACTTTTCAAATCAACTTGGCATTATTATATACTTGTCATGTTAAAATCTCGGGTCATTTGGTGTTTTAAAGTGAAAAGCGGAATTTTCGTTATAAACTAACAACTTAACAACAGGTGAGGTGTAATTGCTGCTTCGTCAAGCTAAAAATTAAATAATTATAAAGTAGGTCATGTACTAGGTTAACATAAACACAAAGAGTATTGCAGATTATTAATTTATTGTTTTTTTTAATTTTTTTTAGTCATAGCAGAGTCGTCACCAATCATCGAAATTGTAACATAGTCAATAGCTCTGACAATAAATAACCATTATAGAGTCATTTAAAAATTTGACCTAGTTAGTTAGTAACTAGGCTTTCATAACTGCACAAAAGCTAATTTCGTACTAGGATACCATAAACGTAAAGAATTTTATTAACCTGTGTTTTGTCAATATCGTAAATGAGGTATATAGTGCAAATCGTTATTTATGTTAGAAAGCACGTATTACGAAGGTCGTAACACACCTAGTCATTGTGTAATATTGAAACTAAGCCAATTCTATTAATAATAAAATGATTTTCCGCCTGTTTCCATCAAATTAGTAACTTTGTCTCCGGTACTTCAGTAAGCCTTAGCTAGAAGAATTAAAATTTTCATGAAATTTTTTTTCCTTTAAAATGTTTTTTAAAATTTGTTCTTAACATGAAAAAATATTTTAGCTGAAAAATAAAGAAATGGGCAGACGCTAAATTTTACAAACATTCAGAAAAATGTACCAAGGAAACATAAATTCGAAAGAGCTATTGTAGTAAATAATAATTTTAATGTAATAAATAACTGGACTCAAATCAAGCACGGTCATCCGGCCCCAATATGTTTTGTACCACATAATACGTTTAAATATATATGTATACATATACTTATAATATAGATAATTTGTAATTAACACCCAGACGAAGAGCAATCACACGAATGTTTGCCCGATTGAGGGAATCGAACCCACGACCCTTGGCGCATCAGTCAGGAGCATAGACCCATATAGTAGTCAGGAGCCCTACCTTTTTTTTAATACTCTTGTTATTTTGCCATTTCTTAAGTATTTTATTTATGTAATTAATATAAGTTTTTTTTTTTTTTAAGCCTTTATTGCTGTTCTTATTTTTACAAACTATATCAAATTACTTAAACATGCCAAAACTTAAATACTATGTTCCTTATGGAATTAAATATCGGCAAACGGTGGTTGTGGTATCGCAGCTTGTCCTTCGACAAAGGCCTCCTCTAAAGATTTCCACTGTGTCCTGTCCTTTGCTGTACGCGTCCATGTAGTACCAGCTATTTTTATAATGTCGTCCTCCCATCTTTTAGTCTGTCTACCTCTATTCCTTTTACCATCTCGTGGATACCATTCAGTTATTAAACTGGTCCATTTCTCCTTTTTCTCTCTGATCATATGTCCAGACCATCGCCATTTTAGCTGTTTGTAAGTTGTGTATGCGTTCTTAAAGTTTGTCTTGCTCTTTATGTCTTTTAGTTTTATTCGGTCTTTTCTTTTTACGCCTATTGTACTTCTCTCTATTCCGTTTTGACAAACTTTTAATTTGTTTGATAGTTCTTCTGTCAACGCCCAAGTTTGACACCCGTACAGTAAGCATGGAAGAATACACATATTAAATACTTTTCTCTTTTGTTTTATAGGCATGTCTTTATTTTTCATTACTTCGCTTAGCGACCAGAACCGTTTCCAGGTATTAGCAATTCTTCTTTCTATTTCCTTTTGCATGCAGTCTTCTTGAGATATAAGTTGTCCAAGATATATATATTCTTGTACATATTTCTATTACCTCGTCATTTATTTTTATTTCTAATATAAGTATATTAATTAATTAATTGAAAATCTATAAAATAGAGACTACTTACAAACGCTCAGAAAAAGTACTAGTGAAACATAATTTCTTAAGAGATATACCAATTAACTATTTCGCCTATTGTTTGTTTAATTAATAAAAAAAATCTACAAAAACGACAGACATGCTTTAAAACATTCAGAAGAAAGTACCAGGGAAACATAAATTCGAAAGAGCTACCTTACTAATTAAACTATCGTTATGGCGGCATTTCCTTAATTAATTAATTAAAAAAACCGATAGACATACAAATGCTCAAAAAATTTACCAGGGTAACATGAATTCTAAAGAGCTATTTATTCTACCATTCTCGGTAACTTCTCTGTTCGTTCTGAGTTCAACTCGTGCCAATTGTAAAACGCTAACGATATATATACACACAAATGCATTTCTATAATCAAGAAATTATTATCGAAATCGAAACGCATCCGAAACGCGGGAAACCTAATTTCAGTTGAGGGCACGGCGTCGCGACGGGCGGTCATGCGGTGACGCCATGTTCAATTTCTTCAAAAGGAAAGGCAAGGTCGAGCCGGGTCCGGCCGAGCGCGGGCGGAAAAAGCCGACCGCCGACGCGGTAAAACTGACCGCAGTCGAGGGCCGCGCCTCACGAAACGACGCCACGAGCGACAAGCCGACCAGCAAGGATGTAGTGAACCTGCTCATCCCGGAGACGGACTACCAGCAGAAGACCGGCGTCGGAGCCATCCTGGACATCATGGCCGGCAAGAGGCGCCGCGGTAAACGCAGGCCCGGCCAGAGGTCCGAGTCGTGCCGACACAGTCCACCCAAGCAGAGCTTGCAGCGAAGTCCGTCGGCCGCCCAGCCGCCCACGTCCGCCCGAAATAACGACGCGGACGCAGACGATCCGGCGGAGTTCGTCAGGGCGCTCGTTTTGCAGAAATACGCGAAGCCGACCGACAAAGAAGATAAACACGTGTCAATGGTTTACGTCTCACAGCAGCCAAATATAGATGAGAAACGACACACCGAAGCATTGCTAAGAGAGATCGCGAGAAGCATAGACTGCACCGTCGATCAGATCAATGAGGGGAAGCAGATGGGGTCCGCGGACAGCAAGGACGTGAGCGAGCCCGTCTACGAGACGGTGGACGGCGTCGACGCTTACAAGAACGAACTGAAAGACGAACTCAACAAATTGTTAGACGTCCAGAATCGTTTTGAGGCCGAATCTCCTTCTACGGTGAAGAAATCCAACTTGAAGCTACCGAAGTCAGACACTGAGGGGTGTTCGGACGACGACAGATCAGATAGCGGCAAGAAGAGGGTTACATTCAGGAAGCACATAGTCTTCGATGATGGAGAGCAGCAGACTGATGATGGAGCCGACTCGTCGTTTGAGTCCCTCTCTTCCGGCGATGAGGTCGAAGAAGACGAAGGATACCTTGGCGTCTACGAGGACAATAGAACAGTTATTAATGTTAAAAACGGTGAGCCGGTCACAATTGCGGTCACTTGCAACGAAGAATTCAAAAGAATATCTAGTGATAACAGTGATAGTGGTTTTATAGATGACAAAGCGGGTGAGGACTTGACCTGTGCCGGTAAGAGTGTAGTGGAGAGTGAGAGTGAGAGTGAGGAGGAGATCATAGAGGAGATAGAAGAAATAGAGGAGATAGAGGAGATAGAAGAAATTGAAGAAGAATATATAGACGAAGAGGAATCTAGTGAAGAGGACGAGTGAGTATTAACATTTCGATTTAATGACACAAAACTGAATAATTACTATGTATGTGCTTTTTCATTACCAAATTCGTGCATTGGAATTTGTATATTAATACGTGGAGCAAAAACTTTGTACCTCTTTTTACGAAAATTGCGGGGACGGAGGAGTATGAAATTTCCCACACTTATAGAGAATATAGAGAAAGGAGTTAAGAATGTGCATATTTTTTTAAAATTATGCATAAAAAATACATTAAATCAATAAATAAATAAAACATTACACACACTACCATGTATTTGACACACTCACACATTTATACTCTTTTGTTTATTGTTTAAAGTCTGTGATCAAATTGAAAATAGCTGATATAGTATTGTTTGTCTTTAATATTCTTTATCTATGTGCAGCCTTGGCGAAATCTGTGATTAAAGAAGTTATAGTCTTTTACAATAGAATCTTAATAATGTTAAATTAATTATAATCGAATTACGACCGCTGGGAGACCACTAATAAAAAAAAAAAAGACTTTATTGGCGGTTTCTTTATAGTAGGTACTTCTTTTCGGACATTTTTCCAGCGATTTGTTTTGAGTTTAAGATTGTTACATTGTTTGTTATACAGGGTTTACAATAAAAGTTAAAAGACTCACTGAATTACACAAAGACAGTTTTTTTAACCGAAATCCGTAAAAATCGCTAAGTGGATGCCCCTATCACTCTTGAGAGATGAGGTCGAACCTCTATAGTATATCTAAATCACCCTTCAAACCGCATTACTGCTTCACGGCAGAAACAGGCAGAGTAATGGTGCCTACCCGTGCGGACTCACACACAAGACGTCCAACCACCAGTAATTATTGTTATATACCTATTTGTAACATGTTTTTATTAAGCTGCATTTATTTTATGATATTTAAATTTATACGGCTTCATACTTTATCGATATACGATTTATACAAGTACTAATGGTCTCTCAGTAGTCGAAATTCGACTGTAATTATTGATTAAAACTATAAGTATGAACATTGTTAAGGTTCTATTGTCAAAGACTTCTGTAATCACAGATCTCTCCAAGGGTACGCTATAGACAAATAAAATTAAAGATAAACAATATTAATCTTTTGTCAATTTTACCACAGATTTTAACATCAAACAAAAGAGTATATGAGTCGTCTATTATCAAAGGTGGCAATCTGTGCATTTGGACAAAAAAAAATTTTTGATATGTCAATACAGATTGATTTGAATATAATCGTCTCCTTCAAAGAATACGGTTCAAAACCTGCATTAAATAAAGGTTAATACTTAACCTGTTATTTATCTAAGATGTCGTTCAGAAGAGTTTTGTGACTGCCAACTTAATACAAAGTCAATAATTCGTTTTTTTGATTTACCAATAATTGTCCAAAAGTCACATTGCCGGCTTTGATAATAGTCGACTCATATATGAGTGTTGTGTCAAATACATGGTAGTGTGTGTAATGTGTTTTTTTTATTGACATAATAGAAACTTAAGAAAATATTAACATTCAGCACTCCATCTCTATATTCTCTATAAGTGTGGGAAATTTCATACTCCTCCGTCCGCGCAATTTTCGTAAAAAGGATACAAAGTTTTTGCTTCACGTATTAATCAATTTTAATTGCAAGAAATCAATGCGCCCACTAAATCAAGGTATACCACCGCTGCTTGACTGGTGGAGAATACCTCACGCATTAAGTCAGTCATTGCTATTTTTACTCTTCCTTTCTAAAATCTTTTTTATAATTAAAAATAACCTTTTTTACGGCTTGCTCATACAATCGTCGTCGCCATCTTCCTTTTTCTCATTCTGTCTGTCATTCTCTTTTCTTTTTCTTACCGTATTCTCTCACTCACGGGTAGGTATCAACCACCCTGCTTATTTTGGGCGCGAAGCAGTTATGTTTGATTAAGTTTGAAAGGTGTTATTGATGACAACGGACTCCGTTAACCGCTTGATACGGGGTGAACCGTAAACTCATTCAGCCGTTAAAGCGATAAGGAAAAGCTTAGGTAGGAAAAAAAAATTCATTTGAAACATAAAAATTTAGCAGACAAATGTTTGCTAATTTTTTTAGATGTTTAATTTATTATTGCCGCAATATAATGCTTATTTATTTAGTGACTTTGTTGTACGAGGGCTGCACTAAAAGTATCGGGAATGGAATATTTCCACTGTTCCTGTCATATTAAAATCTTTTTAATTGAAAACTTGGTTTTAAAAATCGAATACCATTTATTTATTTAAAAAAAGATTCTCGGTCTTGTCACGAGGTTTTGTCAAACTTGTTTAGTCGTTGAGAAAATGGAATTGACTCGAGAAAATTCAAGAGCGATGATTTATTATGACTTTCGAAGTGGTTTAACACAAAAACAGTGTGTTGACCGGATGATTTCTGCATTTGGTGATGAAGCCCCATCCAAAACCACAATTTATCGCTGGTTTGCTGAGTTTCAACGTGGACGTGTCAAGCTCAGTGATGATCCCCGTCAAGGTCGTCCAAAAACTGCAGTCACCCAAGAAAACGTTGATGCTGTGCGTAAGCTGATTGAGGAAGATCGACATGTGACATACCGCGAAATTCAGGCAACTTTAGACATTGGCATGAGTCAAATACAAATAATCTTGCATGAACAATTAGGTGTAAAAAAGTTGTTTTCCCGATGGATACCGCATTCGCTCTGTGAAGAGCAAAAAGCGGCTCGCGTTACTTGGTGCGTCAGAACTCTCGAAAGATTCCACGCAGGATCCTCAAATGCTGTATACAACATTGTATCAGGTGACGAATCCTGGATATACGCGTACGAACCCGAAACAAAAAACCAGTCACGAGTTTGGGTGTTCGAAAATGAGTTAAAGCCAACAAAAATTGTTCGTTCACGGAGTGTTGCAAAAAAAATGGTGGCCACGTTTGTCTCCAAAACCGGCCATGTTACGACTATTCCTCTTGAGGGACAAAGAACGGTTAATGCAGAATGGTATGCTAGCATTTGTTTGCCACAGGTCGTTTCTGAACTCCGTAAAGAGAACTGCAACCGCCGCATCATCCTCCATCACGACAATGCGAGTTCTCACACCGCGCACAGAACAAAAGAGTTTTTAGAGCAAGAAAACATAGAATTATTAGACCATCCGCCGTACAGCCCCGACCTAAGCCCTAATGATTTCTATACTTTCCCTAAAATAAAGAATAAATTGCGTGGACAGAGATTTTCATCACCTGAAGAAGCTGTGGACGCCTACAAAACGGCCATTTTGGAGACCCCAACTTCCGAATGGAATGGTTGCTTCAATGATTGGTTCCATCGTATGGAAAAATGTGTCTAATTTCGCGGAGAATACTTCGAAAAGCAATAAATACATTTTTAAATAGTAATGTTGTGTCACTTCGTTAATTCCCGAAATTTTCAGTGCCGCCTATGTACCATGGAATTTGGATATTTCTTTTCTTTAAAGAAATTTAGTATTCAGAGTCGTTGTATGATCCACATTTCGGTGTTTTTATGTTAGAAGCATCACTTACTCTGTAATGTAAACATGTTTATACAAACAAAACGATCTAAGTATGTATTTTAAAATCTTTTCCCACGGGCAGCCATCTTTCAATGTTTGCCCGCGTTTTATTTGACAGCCCGTGACGTAATCGTATTTTGACGCACAGACTATAATAAAAAAAAATGTTTCACGCAAAAGATTGTACGTATGAGTCACGTTTATTTTCTTAGAGTCATGTTGTTTGTATTATTTGTAAATAAGGCGAATGTTTATTATTAATTAAATTTAGCTCACAAAGAAACACGACAATTAAGAATTTGACTAATATTTTTTTTCGAAAGTTTAGTAATCTTTATTTATATACTGTATGTACTGTGTACGTATTGCTTGTGAAAATTTCGATGAAATACGATCAAACTCTTATTACGTTATGCAGTCCTGGTACTTACTGGAATAATTAAATTAAAAACGCCCAATTAAATTGAGGTTTCGACCTCATGTCTCAAGGTGACGTGGCGGCATTTGGATCGAATGATGTCCATGGGCTGCGGCAACTCAACTACGCTTTGAGGTCCTTCATTTATCTGATTATTTGTGTACATAATAATATGTACTGTTTGATTCAATCAATGTTGCAAACCGCTCCCATGCTCTTGAAATTAATGTCTGCTCTAAATATAGATTTCATCCGGTGGGTTATTTAGATTGAGAAATTCAGTTAGCGTTCTAAAACCTCAAGAGCTTTAGGTATTTTAGGATTACTAATAGGCTAGCTGCCTATTTCTGCCGTACACTCTATACAATACAATTGGAATTGCGACCTCATGCCTCAAGGCGGATCTTGACTCACGCTGTGACCTAACAATTGCTTTACCCATCCACCAAGCCAATGCGCTCATTTATATGCGTGATCTATTTGCAAGTTACGAAATCCCCTCCACTGTGGTATGGAATTACCTTCTCCAAACGAGGTTTAAATAGACTTCTACTCTATTAGGAAATAAAGAGCATCATCTTGTATAGGGGACAAGTTGAAAAAGTGCCCATCTGTAAACAGCGAGTTATCATTGGAAAACTCACCGGAATAGCGCTAGTAGTGTAGAAAGTGGAAAAGATATAAATATAGCAGTTTTAACCGGAGTGAAGTGTGCTAGTTGTCCACTTCGACAAAGCGGCACGACACGAGAACCCTCTCATCGTGGCCGCCTTAACTACATTCCCGATCCTGCGGACAGAATGGAAAGCAGTCGACGTCGCCCAAAACACGTCATTTCAGATCCTTCCGATCCACTAACGGTGCTTTTAGGTACTTCCCGGTCACCGTCCTCGTCAAACCCGTCGCTTGCGACGAAGGGCTCGACGAGTAAACTAACCCACAGACACTGAGTTCCTCGCCGGATCTTCTCAGTGGGTCGCGTTTCCGATCCGGTGGTAGATTCTGCGAAGCACGGCTCTTGCTAGGGTTCGTTAGCAACGTCGTCACGTTTGAGCCCCGTGAGCTCACCTACTAGTTAAGGTTACGCTAAAATACCACTCAAGACTATCAGCTTAGGTAGGGAAAAAAAATGAGTTGAAAAATTTAATATTTTTCGGGGCTTGTGTAGTTAAAAACAGTATTTAAAATCTCAACTATCTGTTTTTATTACTATTTACGTAGGAAGTTTTTCGTGTTCTTTCTTCTTAGGAATACTAAAATCTCAGTAAAATGGTGGTTATTGTTCATTGGAACTTTTTGGAAGAGCATGATAAGCTATGTCACATTTAAACCTGATGGAACACTAAATTAACGAAATAAAATAATTCGTACAACTTCGCTCATCGTGTTCCCACCAAAACCCTTCTTTTTGTGAAATCCGACAGTATCCTCCTTAGAAGTCACAAAAAAACCCTTTGCTTCAGGCAATGGAGATTTCGTTAAGCCTCAATTTCTATACCATGTTAATAATAGTAAGTTTTATTTTGTCCAGGAAAAGCCTCGTGAGCCAAGAGAAGTTCCAGAACCATGTGGCCGCTATCACAGAGCTATCCGACTCCAGGATAGAAGAGGCGGAACGTGCGAAAAATCTCATTGTGACCTACAGAAAAGAAATAGAGACCAAAGACCAGGAAATCGAAGGTAGGTTTTGGACTTTTGCTCTTCGAGAAAATATTCCACAAACTATTTTTAATTGTCTACATCTTAAGTTTTTGTTTACTTAGTAGAGTTTGAGAATCGGTGACGGTAAAATATGACGTAAACTCTCAACATTTATGTCCGCCTGGTACCTAAAGGTCGCGGTAGCCAAAAACCTAGGAAGATATTTTTTAATTTGAAAGGCTGGCACGGCTCACTTGGTGTTAAGGGGTTATCGAAAAACCACGAATATTTATTGTTAACACCAGATCAGGTCGAAAATTTTCAATTTCATAGATGATCCGTAAGGTGCTAAAAGATCACTGCAGAAAGATGTCGGTTCTTGTTGTGGTTTTTCATTGTTACACATAACTCGGTGCAGTCTTTAGGCGCGTGAACACAACGCGCGATGAGGAGATGCGATCCAAAAATCCGAGATTAAATCGTAAAAGTTGACAATAATATTATTTTAATACTTTTGCCTAATGTTGTAACGAAAAACAATAGCATAAACAAAATGGTTGTTTTGTTTTCCCGCTGTCACACAGAGAAGTAAATGATTGATTTTGAATAATCATGCTTAATCTTACCAGAGAGAAACGTAGTTGGCTTCACCGATTTATTGTTACAAAAAAAAAAAGCACATTTAATTTAAAAACACATTAGCACAAAATATGGTGTCACAAAAAACGATATTATCTTTTATCTCTATATATAAAAATGAATTGCTGTTCGTTAGTCTCGCTAAAACTCGAGAACGGCTGGACCGATTTGGCTAATTTTGGTCTTGAATTATTTGTGGAAGTCCAGGAAAATTTTGAAAGGTAGATAAATATGAAAATGCTCGTAAAGAAATAAAAATAACAATTTTGTTTTTCCTTTGATGTGTGCCCCGTCGCACGGATTCTTTTTATTTGTTTTAAGTTTATTTTATACAACAGTTTAGGTCTTTTATTTATCGATTGAGGCACTACGAAGTCTGCCGGGTCAGATAGTTTTTAATAAATATTCCAGAATCCTCTAGATTTTGAAATGATCACACGGAAATACGTAATTTCTGTTTCAAATTTATAAATTGGTATTCGAATCGGAAGTGCAACTATATATTACTTGCTCTAACCAGTACAGTTTAAAGAGACAGCACTAGATAAAATAAAAACTCTTTTTCTCAAAGTTCTTAGCATTTCGCGCGTTAAATAGTTTTAAATGTGTTTTTTTTTTTTCTGTTTCAATGGAATTCAGGGTCATTGATATTGAACATACGCACTAATAAACAATGCATTAGCCTCGTGTACTTACTAGCCATGTGGCGAGTACGTCACTGGCTCCTTGCCAGTTACCCACGCTCTCGATCTTTGTGTGTCATGTGTCTGAGCATTGCAGCGCTGAAACAACTGAACTTTCGCTGGGAACGATGTAAATACTTGTTCGCGCTCATGTTTTCCTGGTACTTAGAGCGACGTGTTCGCGAGTTCATCGTCGTTTGTATTGTCTGCGCATCGAATGTGCATGAGAGTTACAGAAATTCAATACTCGCCAACGACACACTTATTCAAGGCTATGCGATCCTAGTACTTGCTGTATCACTTTTGAAGCTTTCTACACTAAAAATCCACAAAAGCGAATGAGAAAAATATTCACGGTGGTTGGTGGTGCAAGCGGAAATTGTTGAGTGATTTATTATTGACCGACTTTTGTTTACAGTATGCCAAACAATTTACTCACAGTAGAAATATCTAGAAAATTCATTGCAAGAGAAAACTTCGTGAAACTGTATATTAATAATATCTTACAAAGAGGATTTCATTTAATATAACTAACTGAATTCCGAGCTCGTTTAGTTAAGACTACAAATAAAATGTTTACATAATCAAATTTTATAAGGTTCACATTCGAACGTTCTGTATCGAAGATGTTATCACGTAGTTCTTTAGATTTATATTCTCCTGGTAATTGATTGGCTGAATTACTAAGAAACTCACATGTTTTTCGCGCAAAATAACATTTCTAACGTTTATTTAATTAATTTAATTTATTACATATTTAACTTAATTTATTATGTATTAATTTAATTAATCTTTAGTTTCAAATTGCAACATCGAGACATTATTGGCAGCTTCGCAATATGATTAAAGTATACATAATTTTCGATAACCAAATACGTAGGATTTTTATATTGGTTTGAAAATTATTCCATCGTCAAGAAGACCTTTCATCCATTTTTGATTTAGTGATATCAGGAGCGGCCCTAATGCGCTTATTACTATCAACCATTAATTATTATGACTTATTTAAATATAAAAAAATAATACGCTGAAGAGTTTTACGTAAATGTCTGTTTACAAAATATTCCTATAGAAAAAAATAAGTTTAATAAAAAACCTCCGGAAACAGAATATGATATTGGAAAACGAATCCGTTTAAATTTCGAATCATAGGTACTCATGACATTACGGACCGAACGTCAAAATAAAATGAAAAAGTTCTTTGAACTGCAACTAATTTCGTCTACGATAAACTCCATCAAACTCGTGTAGCCCTGGTACTTGATTTGAGGAAAATTATAAAAAAACGCTATAAAAAACATATATGTAAATAAATAAATATACTCGGTATACACATAGGTATTTACATTAATTGAAGATCAAGTACATACAATTTTCATACTAAATTTAAAATAAACATTACAAAGGAATATGTGGGCTTTATTTTGAGCACTGTTTATTATCCTTGCGTGTTCAATTTCACTGAAATCCTATAAATAGCGCATCGTTCACGTACCTACAATGTGTTTAAAACATTGAAAATCTTAAGAATTCTTACTTCCTCTGCATTAAAATATAAAAAAAGCAGGGAAAGAATATTTTAAAATATTTACAATTCTATAAATGGAATTGTAATTGGTCAATTTTTATCTGTTTGTGTACGAGAAGAGCTCGGGGTCAGTACAGAGCTGCAGAGGACTGTGTCTACAATAGTGTAGTATAGGACTCTAGGCTAGATGTAGGTCGGATCTGTGTCTGTTTGTGTACGAGAAGAGCTCGGGATCAGTACAGAGCTGCAGAGGACTGTGTCTACAGTAGAGTAGTATAGGATTCTCGGCTAGATGTAGGTCCGATCTGTGTTTGTTTGTGTACGAGAAGAGCTCGGGATCAGTACAGAGCTGCAGAGAACTGTGGCTATATTATAGAAAACATTAAATAAACAACATGTTTTCCAAACTACGTCAACATGCACAAAGATTTATTTTTGTCGTTGACGCTCTCAACATTTCATCGCGGAAGTCGAACATTAATTATTTTAATTAGATTTTTAAAGATCCGGGAACGTATATACACGTCAATTTATTTAGGAAATCCAAAATAAATCGGAGGAATATTTAGTGTTAAATTTTCACAGCATTCGATACTTTGAACGCTAATACTTCCCAGTGACTTTTTTGTTTTCATACATGTATGGAATGCGACCCGACTCCTTATCTTGAATACCAACTGGAGACATAAGTTAGATTTTGTTGTATAATAGGCTCCCCAATATATCAACTCCAGAAAGAATTTCACGGTAGAAACAGAACTTACAGTACCCGACGATAAATGTCGCACTTCGTCCCCTATGGAAAGAGAATCGGTTAATTTCGGCTTCGTAGTGCGCTATCTCGGTCGCACATTATTCACGTGACAATTCGTCTTCTCGCATTAAAACTGTATAATCTCAAAACTTACTAAATTTTACAGGAGAGTGTTTTAAATGTTTAAAACATGTGATATTTTCAATATTAATCATCTTTGCAACATTTATTTTTCATTTTTTACCAGTTACATTATCTGTCTTTTAAAGTAAGATAAAATTATGTATTAATTTTGTGAATAGTAGTCAAAATATAGGTAAACAAAAAAAAAAACTAATACTAAACTACGCTCTTTTGACAGTATTTATGAGAAAAATACTGGTGATACCAAATGTTTACGCATATTAACTCAATTTCGAATATTTTTGCAAATTGTACACTTTTAATGCGAAAAGGCGAATTATCATCATTCGTTGTTCAAGTGCAGTAGCGTGCGATGCTAATACTCATCGGACTTTGTGTTTCGTGCGATATTAACCAATAGTCTTAATTTCAAAGAACGATGGGCAACGTTTATCGCCAAGCACTGTACCCGTGTGGGCTCCCAAACATTCTTACACTTCACAGTCGCTTTGATTTATTCGATAATTCAGTATAGTTGTGCTCTGAGGAATTGTTCGAGATGATACCGGCATCTCGTTTTTACCATCGCACCGCCCGCCACCGGAGTAGAGTTCATCCATACTACCTGGAGCCACTGCGGTCATCCACAGTGCGTTTCCAGAGATCTTTCTTGCTACGTACCATCCGGCTATAAAATGAGCTCCCCTCCACGGTGTTTCCCGAGCGCTATGACATTTCCTTCTTCAAACGAGGCTTGTGGACAGTATTAAGCAGCGGCTTGGCTCTGCCCCTGGCATTGCTGAAGTCCATGGGCGACGGTAACCACTCACCATCAGGTGGACCGTATGCTCGTCTGCCTACAAGGGCAATAAAAAAAAAGCTTTTAGTAGTTTTTTTTTTTATCTCTCGTCCAGTTTGTAACTTAAAAGAGCGGTTTTAGAAATCTTTATGAAACTTTAGCTATAGCTAAGTATATCTGTTTTCCAAGTGGGTCAAGTACATCTTAGATTCGAATTGTTTTTGATTGATTGAAATAAAAAAGGGTGCGTGTATTTATGTACGCCCGTAAGAAGTTATACTTTATTTTTATTAAATATTAAATAATTAATAATAAATATTTAACGTTAATAATTTAATAATATTTAGTATGAATTATATTAAATAATAATTTTGTCATTTATATTACTAAAAAATGAATGCTAATAACACATTTTTTTACGAGTGTACATGCGCGAAAGTTCACCTGCGGCTATATTCAGACTCGCCAAGCTACGTCGGTCGTATAGTAATGAGCGACTTAGTGGGCAACTTCATTTCTGTTAATTTTGTGTCACGGTGCGCGCGCATCGTAAAATGTCACTCTCATCAATTTTTCATAACGCGCCTAAAGAAGTATAACTTCAAAAACCGTTACAGAACTGAAATGTGAGCTGGCAGCGGCGTACAAAGAATCGGAATTAGTTAGGCAAAGGAGTAGCTCGTTGGAAGACGAGCTAAACGCGGCCAGGACCTGCTCCGCCGACTTAGCCGACCAGCTGCAAAGGAAAAACGGTGAGTGTATAAAATTTTGTTTCACATCATTTCGCCTATTCGATGGTGGTCTAATAGGGGCTATTTCTACCTAGCTACGCCCGGGCGGGTAGGTAAGCTTACAGGCTCAACCTGAGAAAATGAAATTTCCCATACTTATAGAGAACATAGAGAAGGAGTGCACAATGTTAATATATATTTTTTAATAATGCATAAAAAATACATTAAACCAATAAAGAAAACATTACACACACTATCATGTATTTGACACGCATATATATTATATAATATTTTGTTTATTGTTACTCTGTGGTCAAGTTGAGAATAGATTAATATTATTTCTAATATTATTTGTCTATAGTGTCTTAGCGAAATCTGTGATTACAGAATAAAGTCTTTGACAATAGAACCATAATAATGTTCAAACTTATAACTTAAATTAACAATTATAGTCGAATTTCGCCTACCGGGCGACCACTATTATATACAAATATATAAATCTACAGTGGTTTTTACGGATGTTCCGTTATAACTACTGAACCATGCATCCGATTGACTTGAAACTTGGTATCCATGTAGAAAATACATGTACTTGATTATACTTTTTGAAGTCGTCGTGGCCTAAAGGATAAGACGTCCGGTGCATTCGTATGTAGCGATGCACCGGTGTTCGAATCCCGCAGGCGGGTACCAATTTTTCTAATGAAATACGTACTTAACACATGTTCACGATTGATTTCCACGGTGAAGGAATAACATCGTGCAATAAAAATCAAACCCGCAAAATTATAATTTGCGTAATTACTGGTGGTAGGACATCTTGTGAGTCCGCACGGGTAGGTACCAACACCCCGCCTATTTCTGCCGTGAAGCAGTAATGCGTTTCGGTTTGAAGGGTGGGGCAGCCGTTCTGACTATACTGAGACCTTAGAACTATATCTCAAGGTGTGTGGCGCATTTACGTTGTAGATGTCTATGGGCTCCAGTAACCACTTAACACCAGGTGGGCTGTGAGCTCGTCCACACATATAAGCAATAAAAAAAAATGGATAGGCTAATATTTATATGAGTGTTGGACTCGCTAATAATAATGACAATAAATAATAATGTTAATTTTAAATTCCCAGCGAAGCGAGCGAGTACGGCTAGTAATTCATAATTGCATTAAAAACGTACTAGAGCCGTTTACGATACCTTCGCCTACTTATGAGATCCTGGTACATTTCCAGATGAATCTCTTCGTCAGCTCCGAGCTGAGCTGGAAGATGCTCAGGCTCGGCGAGCTGAACTCGAGTCCAGGGTACTGGCTTTGGAGAGAGATAGAGATAGACTGCTGCAAGAGAGAACCTTGCAAGAAGAGAGAGCCAAAGAAGTATGTCGTTTTTTTTCTTCCCGTTACCGTTTTTTGCCAACGAAGGCCAATCCAGAATCCGGCTACTCGAGAACTACGGAGATAGTATTTAGGGACGGCAAAGGAAGATCTTTCACCGAGGAGGAAACCCGAAAAATTATAATTTGCGTAATTACTGGTGGTAGGATCTCTTGTGAGTCCGCACGGGTAGGTACCACCACCCCGTCTATTTCTGCCGTGAAGCAGTAATGCGTTTCGATTTAAAGGGTGGGGCAGCCGCTGTAACTATACTGAGAGACCTTAGATCTCATATCTCAAGGTGGATGGCGGCATTTACGTTGTAGATGTCCATGGGCTCCAGTAACCACTTAACACCAGGTGGGCTGTGAGCTCGTCCACACACCTAAGCAATAAAAAAAACACGGACCTTTGATTGCAAAGATGAATGACGCGTGTTAAGCGAAATGGCGCGGCGCTAAAACCAAAATAACCTCTCACCCCTCGGATATGTAGTTAATTCAGAAACATAACGACGCAGCATAATGGTTGAGAATCACTGATTTAGTGTAATCCATCCGTACTTAATAAAGTAAATGTGAAAGTGTGTTTGTTTGTTTGTACTTCTTTCACGTTGAAACAAAGCAACGGATTGACACGATTCTTTTTTAAAGTGACAGTATATTTAAGGGAGTGATATAGGCCATCTTTTATCTTGAAAAAAAGAACATCTCATTTCCACGAGAAACTAAACTGACAATTTACCTTGTATACAGAAGCAAAGTTGCGGCTATCAACTAGTGTATTTATGTGCAAACAATTTTAGAATATTTTTTAAACTAATAAGCCGTCTATAATCCGGTAGATATTGTGAAGAATCTTTCTTCTGATTCCGAGAGTTTTGACACAAAACAACCTCTATTTCTAAGGCGTTAGCGTCCGCTGAAGCTGACACCGCGAAATGGCGGCAGGCTCACGAGGCGGTCAGATCTCAAGCCGCCGCGAGGGCGGAGAGGATGCTCGGAGACTGCGAGTGGAAGATGAGGGAGCTTGAAAAGAGGGCCAGAGAAGCAGAGAAATCTAAAAAAGAGGTAAGTACAACTCGACCAAGCTAAGTTTGCACCTCGCTGGAATGCGGCGCCCCGCCCGCTTCCCCGCTCACCTTCCCGCGATCGCCCTGTCGCGTCAGTACGGTTAGCATCTTTGTCGCCGACACGCGTCATACGAGTTTTCGTCTCCCTATCCGTTGAATTTTAAATTTTTTAATTGTTCTTGTTAGGTTTTTTGTTGTAGTTTAGTTATATTATTGGACTATTTTTGTTAAGTTTTTGTTGAACTGCTGTTACTAAATGCTTAACGTTCATTTTACTTCGAGAGGATTGTTGTGGGCAACAAAAATGAAAGGAAAGGTTATACGCATTGAAGGGAAAAATATAATCCTGAAAAGGAAAATGATTACTGAGCAATTGGGATACAAATTTAAAAAGTGCAAGAATGCCCGGGTGGTTTTAATACAAAAGCCCGATATCGCTATATTCTAATGTACCTATGTATAATATATTGTTAAAAACAATAAATGCAAAGTAATATCTAACAAAAATTTGTTTACATTTTTAAAGTCATAGCGAATCCTTTTTTCAGACCATACCTAAGCGGCAATGTGACGTAATCGATACGAGGTGCAAACTTAGCTTGGTCGAGTTGTAAGCTCTGCCGGTTTTTTTTTGATGCAATCAAAAATATCAATGATGGTGGTTGGACTGCGCCTCTACGACTCCTTCGACTTAGCGTCCTGCGAATCTGGTTGCACACCGAATCACTCATATCCCACGCGCCATCATGTAGAATGTTCAGATCTAGATCAAAAATTTTTTTGGGTCAGACCACTTCCCCTTAATTGATCCGTATGCCGGTTTTCATTACAACTAAAAACTACTCTTCCAATCAAGTGCAAATAATATTATTATTATTATCAATTATTATAAATATAATAAATATTAATTATCCACTAAGCTTATGAAAACTCCGCTAAGCTATCAGGACATCATAAATGTAAACAGTATCAAATAATTGACAACGTATGCAGGTGTTCTCATTACAGCTAAAAATGACTTCCAATTAAGATATGTATTTAATTAATAATAATTACCTACAAAATTTATGTAATAAAAATTCCGCCAACTACCAGGACATCATAAATGTAAACAGTATCAATTAACCCATATGTCAGTTCTCACTACAGCTAATGAGTAAATTAAGTGCAATTATTATTAATTAATAAATTGCTTACAAAACTTATGAAAACTCCGCCGACCTACCAGGACATCATAAATATAAACAGTATAAATTGACCCGTATATCAGTTAACTTCATCCAATCAAGTAAAATATTAATTAATAATAATTAAATTACCTACAAAACTTAATGAAAACTCCGCCGGACTACCAGTACGTCATAAACGTAAACAGTTCTGTTATCTTTTCGTTTGCAGCTCACAGAGGAAGTGGAAAAACTGAAGGCGGCATCGCGACCGACTCCGTCGCACGTCGCCGAGCTCCAGCAGCTGCGGGGCCTGGCTTCGGAGCAGCAGCGGTCCGTTCAGTCTCTGACCTTGCAGCTGCAGAGGGCGGAGACGAGGGAAGAGACTCTCAAACTCGAGGTCCATAGACTGAAGGAGCTGTTGGAGAGAGAGACGGTCAGCGGGAAAGAGAAAGAAGAACGCCATCAGCAGGTAAAATAAATCGTTTAAATAAGACTCAACAATTGTGGTTTCTTCTTGTCGGTCTCCAGAAACGGTGGTGACTACTCCTCCTTCCCCTTCCGTCGTGCTCCTCAGTCTTGAGGGTCGTGACCTTTACGGAGCGTTTTTGTTCGGACTATACACTCCATTACGGTCATTTACTGCCAGCAGAGTCTATCGAGAAACTTGTTGTTCAGGGTAGGGTCAATGATAAGAGATCTCGTGGACGAATCCCCATGCGCTGGACTGATCAGGTTAAAGACCTTACTGAAACCCCACTTAACGAATGTGTGCGCCAAGCCTCGGTTCGCAAAGTATGGAAAATGGCTTTAATAAGCAAGAATTCCACATGACCACCACTGCTCTGCCAAGAGCAACCGATTATGATGATGATACACTCCATTCTTTTCTGTCCTCGGTGAATGGTCTTATCGGACCAGCGCATGGGACTACACCTCTTGGCCTCTCTCTTTCCACTTTTGATGAGTAGTTTTTGGCCCCCTCCGCTCACCCCTAGATGATTGAGTCGGTGTTGCAGTAGTAAGGTCTCCTGGCTATTTCCATTTGGTGCCATTATGCTTGTTGGGACTTTCCTTATTCCTTCCTCCAATCCCCTATCCACACCATCTGTTGACACTACAAGAAAAACTACGCGCGTGTGAAAACGGCGCGAATGAGTGTGTAAAAAAAACTAAAACATGGTGCCGGTGCAAAAACAATAAAATTGTGATTTGTTGATCAATCAGCTCATATAACTCTCGCCAGTGAGAAAATTGAACAGTGCATCAACGAACTAAGCAGTGAGACCTAAAACTTATCCTTTTCTCAGTCCCAAACATATCTAAATTCAAAACAATGCTAATGTTGAGTTTATAAAAATCTTCAATTATTAAACAAATACGTCTTCTGTTCTGTAATAAATTGGAATGTAATTAAAAGAGGTAAGATGAAGTAAAGTCTCAGTGAGATTGTGATTATTTGCTGAGACTTCAGTGGAGTTTTGGTAATACTGTACTACAAGTAAGGAATATCTGAGTCTACGGAGGGACTTCGATTGTCTCTATTTTATACCATATATCCCATGGAAATTGTTCGAAATGATCCCGTCATCTCCTTTTTACCATCACCCCGCCCCCACCAGTGGGATCTGCTAAGCACTTGATCCCACTACCTAGAATCACGTTCATGGATAGTGCATTTCCAGAGACCTTACACCGTACCCACGTACAATCCAGTTCTGGTATGAGCTCCCCTCCAAGGTATCTCTTGAGCGCTACGACATGCCTTCCTTCAAACGAGGCTTGAAGAATCGACAGCAGACAGCATTCCTGATTTCCATGAGCTATGGTAACCACTTACCATCCATTGGCTCGTATATCCATCTGCCTATAGCGGCGGCAACAAAAATCAAAAGTACCAGGCCACCATAATTGATGAGGAAGTGTATCGTCGACAGGCAATCAAACAATTAGAAGAGAAGCACAGTAAGGCGATCGAAAATCTCAAGTCTGAACACGCCAGTTCTGCCGCAGCATCACGCGCGGCGCTGGAGCGAATGCACGCCGAGAGAACGAGGTCAGCATTAGCTCAGTTGAGAGCCGAAGCTGACCAGGAAGCCAGGAATGCTGACAGAAAACTAAGAGAGGTCACTACTAGGGTGAGTTGAAGAAATTTCTATTTTAAACCAATGACGTAATGTAGCCATAAGAATTTTAGATTAACAAAAGTATTTTATATATAAGTATCTGAATATTAATAATATCCTTTATAAATGAACTAGCCGTACTCGCCCGCTTCGCTGGGCATTTAAAATTAACATTATGATTTATAGTCATTATTATTAGGGAGTCCAACACTCATATAATTATTAGCCTATCCATTAAGTACATGTATTTTCTACATGGATACCAAGCTTCAAGTCAATCGGACGCATGGTTCAGTAGTTATAACGGAACATCCGTAAAAACCACTGTAGATTTATATATTTGTATAGATTGGTCTGAGAGTTCGCATACAGTATAAAGTGACTTTGAACTTTATGTTAGACTAGAAATACGTACTCAACAAATGTTTACGATTGACTTTCCCGGTGAAGGAATAACATTGTGTGATAAAAATCAAACCCGCAAAATTATAATTTGCGTAATTACTGGTGGTAGGACCTCTGTGAGTCCGCGCGGGTAGGTACCACCACCCTGCCTATTTCTGCCGTGAAGCAATAATGCGTTCCAGTTTGAAGGGCGGGGCAGTCGTTGTAACTATAATGAGACCTTAGAACTTATATCTCAAGGTGGGTGGCGCATTGTTGTAGATGTCTATGGGCTCCAGTAATCACTTAACATCAGGTGGGCTGTGAGCTCGTCCACCCATCTAAGCAATAAAAAAATTAAAAAGTTATATGCTAAGTTTTACAGTCGAAGTACCAGGCTTACATAAACGCAAAGAATTGTTCTTCCAGTTCGAAAACCTCAAAGAAGTACTGGCGAGCAAGGAGGCCCAGTTCGAGCACGCGATCTCGGAGGCGCACAGCAAGGCGGACTGGGACGTGCTACAGCTGCGCCACCTGCTGGACAAGGCCGACATTAACTATGCAAACAACATTGAGCTAATGACGGAGAGGCACGAGAAAGAGAAAGGTGATGCTAATTTTGTCATACACGAAAGAGATGGGTGTAACACTTTGATTTTTAATACGCTTTTTATTTAGCTTCAGACGTATGTATTTAAGTATGTAACGGAATCTTTGAACACGATTTTGACCCCCTTCAAAACGTCGTATAAACTCGAAATTTGGCATACTTATTAAGGACCGATGACAATTCAATATTTAAAAAAATAATTAAAACTGAACTGAAACTGAAATTCAACTAAAAAATGGAAAATAAATAATAGTTTAAAAAAAACTTAAAAAATACCGACGCTTTTATAGAAAATCCAACTAAAAAATAGTAAATAAATTTTAATAAATTTGAATTAAAAATGGGGTGCTTTTCAGGATATTATCAAAATAACCCTTCTACTCATATCTGTTCATAAAATATTTATAACTACTGATACCATGTACCCCACGCTTTTTTACATTAAAATCTTTTTTCTTACTGGTACTACTTTTTATTTACTAGTGGTAGGACCTCTTGTGAGTCCGCACGGGTAGGTGCACCACCCTGCCTATTTCTGGCGTGAAGCAGTAATGCGTTTCGGTTTGATGGGTGGGGCAGCCGTTGTAACTATACTTGAGACCTTAGAACTTATATCTCAAGGTGGGTGGCATTTACGTTGTAGATGTCTATGGGCTCCAGTAACCGCTTAACACCTAGTGGGCTGTGAGCACGTCTACCCATCTAAGCAATAAAAAAAAAAGTTGGATTTTCTATAAAAGCATATTTTTTTAGTTTTTTTAAACTACATATTATTTATTCCTTTTATTTTGCGTTGTAGTCCTAAGTCAATTCCACCATGAGTTCTAAACTTATTTATAAATTTAGAATCGAAATAATTGCGTCATTAGTTACTACCAGGACACATTCGTTCCCGCCTTAATAAAGCAGCCACGAAAATTATAAGAAAATCTCCTAAAATCCATAGATTCTGTTGAACCATTAAAACTAACGACAAATACATTCCCAGAACGCTTAACAGAAGAATGGGAAGCGAAACTTCGGGAAATCGAAGAGCAAGCTTCGACCGCGGCGAGCGAAGCTAAGAAGCTTCTAGAAACGACGAGAGCCAAACTCGTTGCAGAGAGAATCGAGCAAATCAATAAACTAAAAGAAAATCATCGTGATGAGATGAGTGCGTATATTAATATTATTCTACGTAGTTTTCCTAATTTGAACACCACTTAGGATAATCATTACACAATTGCGACGTCGGTCCTATCTACCAATCTAAGTAGCAGCCACCGTGGTATGTGAGAAATGTAGATCTTCACGACGACCTAAATTTAGTACCAATATATTATTATAAGTATCTTAAGGAAGCGTCAGAACACTACTTCGATAAAGCAGCGCGACACGAAAACCCTCTTATCGTGGCCGTCGCTAATTACTTATCTGACCGCGACTTGTCAACTGCGACAAAAAGCTTGACGAGCGAACTAACCCATAGACACAGCCCACTGAGTTTCTCGCTGGATCTTCTCAGTGAGTCGCGATTCCGATCCGGTGGTAGATTCTACGAAGCACTGCTCTTGCTAGGGCTAGTGTTAGCAAATTTTCTCAGGTTGAGCCCGTGAGCTCACCTACCCGTCTGGACGTAGCTGGAATAGCCCCTTAGGCTATCAGCGAATAGGTAGAGAAAAAAACGAAAGTAGTAGCAGTCACATTAGTCTGTTTATGGACTCCAAAAGAGGGACCCAATGAACCTATTTTTGTAAATAAATATTAAATCGCGGTCAACAGCCAGGCTGTTATTATAAACGTAAAATCTATGTTTTTAAACATAAATCATTTTTTTTTACTTATATTTATTAAAAATATGTATTCCAAATAATTAATTCATCTCAAAAAATAGCTCTTCTAAATTTGAATTTACAGACGAACAATGGGAACAGTTTATGATCGACAAAGAGAATTGCTTAGCGCGAATGAAGATGGAATGTAGGCAGGAGGGAGAAGAAGAAAGAGTTAAAAGAGAGAAGGAACTGTTAGAAGAAATTACTGGTTTGTATCGATTACGTGAATCAGAATATAGAGCTTGCTGGTGAAAATCCCCAATACTTACCCTTTATTCTTATCACCTTAAAATACCTCAGTGAAAAACGTTTCCCTTATTCCAATCAGATCTTAATATAGCAGATATTATTTAAAAAAATCAAGATTATATATTATATCCTCTTAACATCTACCTGCACTTAAAAGTTTATAAATTCGTGTAATGCTGTAGATGTTGTATTTTGGCTTTGAGTAGTTAAAGTTAAAGATTTCTACCCAACTACAACAAATCAGGCACTGAATCAATCATATATCAAACCGTTTATTAATTTTGTAAGGTACTGATTGACATAAACAAAGCTTACTATCAGCTACAATTTTCAGAATTAAAATCTCAAATACAATCAAAATCAGTCGATTTCGACAACTTGGCCGTCAAAGCTGCCGCCTGCGGTAGGACTTTAGCAGTTACCGAGCAGGAACTAAGGTCAGTATCGCTTGCAGAATTTACTTTCAGGAACGGTTTACACCGATGACTTTCTTATTTATGCATGTGACAATAAGCTGCACCTAACATACTTTGTCTCCTAATTGAATGTTTCCTATTATCCGCCGAATTAGCTCTGTATTTCACTATTGCGTATTAGTGTCTAATTGAAATTAAGCATAAATAAAACTAAAAGGATCTAAAATTTAGTACACGTTGCAATTCTGAGCCTTGTTGGCGAATAATCATACGTATATTGAAAACTGGACAAGTGTTTGAGTAAATTATAATAGACTGTAATTTTAAACCATAGATCAGAACCAGTGTATTTAACAATATACATACTTCATGTCTGTGTGTCTACCGCATTCATATCAGTTACCATTTGAAATCGGAATAGATTCAGCCTGTCTACTCGCCTAGACAAAGAATGGTTTTTCAAATAGACACTATTTTCTTTCATTAACATTATCCTGTAAGTTGGTAGCGCAATTTATACCAAAACGACTTCTTATATTTTGAGCTGGATTTGATTTTGAAACTAATCCTAGATAATGAAATTTAAAATATTGTCTTTTGGAATGAATTACGACTACCGGAATGCATGTCAAAATTATTGTACCACATTCCTAATTTTACGTTTCGCAACGATGCTAACATCGCAAAATGGGATTTTCATATTATTCTCTTGATTCCGAAAGCAAAAAAATCGTCATTTTCTTTACTAGTGATTGTGAATAAGCAAACTATCGCTCATCCTAACAAGACTTTGGTTAATTTCTTTAATCTGAGCTCATCTTGTATCGTTTAAGGAATATATTTCGAGAATAATCTGGAAACCCTTTTCTAACACATCACATCATACTCGCAAACATTAACTTAGACTCGACTTAGAACGAAACATCTTTAATAAATACATTCGTCTCGAGCATATTGATTGTATATTTTTCTTANAACTATCGCTCATCCTAACAAGACTTTGGTTAATTTCTTTAATCTGAGCTCATCTTGTATCGTTTAAGGAATATATTTCGAGAATAATCTGGAAACCCTTTTCTAACACATCACATCATACTCGCAAACATTAACTTAGACTCGACTTAGAACGAAACATCTTTAATAAATACATTCGTCTCGAGCATATTGATTGTATATTTTTCTTAAACTACCCTAAAATTGGTTTGTGAATTCCTCCGGAACGTGGAGGCCAAATATGCACGATACAATAGACATTATCGAGACAGAGCATAGCAATGTTTGAACTAAATCTATATAAATCATAAATTGTCAAAAGAAATATTAACTTTCATCTAAACATTGTACATAATATTCATACATTATCGTAAACGTCCAAAAGGCAGTATTTTATTATATGTTTCTTATTCTGTAAGTGAAATGTTGATTTTAATTTTATTCACCCGAAGGTGGGTAGTGTATTTTTCGAAAATGCTTATTTGTATTTAGTTCTATGGCACGCGTTGCACCATGAACCTTTTACAGGATTTTTTAAACAAAAAATATTTTGAATACACCTTTATTTTTACTGTATTCGATCTAATCTATTTAGGACCTGCTATCTATTTAGGCTCTTTAACTAATTTTATTTTGTTACATTATACCCAACCCATACCCAAAAAAAATTAACTTACATTGGACGAGCCCACGGCCCGCCTGGTTTTAAGTGGTTTACCGGTACCTTTACGCTACTCTACTTAAGCTACTACTAATCTACTACCGGATCGAAATCGCGACCCGCTGAGAAGACCCGGCGAGAAACTCAGCGGGCTGATGCATGGGTTAGGTTGCACGTCGACCTCTTCGTCGAGTTCGACGAGTACGGTTACCGGGGTCCCTAAGCCTGCTCCTAGTGTTAGAGCTGAAGGCGTCATTTAATTGCCACACGGTAGAATACCTAGTGATACCAGAGATGAAAAGATTAAAATACAGATTGATATGTTATAACACATTTACAGTACTAAGTACACAATGTATCAATATCAATCTATCAATGCAATATTTACTGATGCTGGTGAGTCTTGTGAGTCCGCACGGGTAGGCACCACCACCCCGCCTATTTCTGCCTTGAAGCAGTAATGCGTTTCGGTTTGAAGGGTGGGGCAGCCGTTGTAACTATACTGAGACCTTAGGACTTATATCTCAAGGTGGGTGGCGCATTTACGTTGTAGATGTCTAGTCCTGGTGTTAAGTAATTACTAGAGCCCATCTAGTAATTACTTAACACCAGGTGGGCTGTGAGCTTGTCCACCCATCTAAGCAATAAAAAAAAGCCTTCAAACGTCTGGTTCACATACACATGTGTCTATCTCTGCCCGAAACATTTCCTTAGTACTAATATTAGTAGTAAACTTTGCTCCTGCATCAATCATAATACATAATTGCACCAAAATAGAAGATAAAATTCGACGCAATAAGATGAGAACATTGTCAATGTATACGAAGCCAATTAAATGCGCATTTATGAATAGCTCAAAGACTAGTCATTGGATCTTGATAGAACTTAAATGAGCTCACGTGAGAAACATCAGGTTTAAAATAAAAATCATCAGAATCGATTCACTTAGAAAAAAGTTCTGAAGTACTATTTTTTTTAAGTCGAAGTAGGCGGTAGGCAGCGACTTGACTGTGCCCCTGACGTTGCTGATGTCCATGGGCGACAGTAATAACTCATCATCAGGTGGGCCGTATGCTCTACCTACAACGGCCATAAAAACAAAAAAAAATATTAGATGGGATGGATAGAAAAAAATTCGTTCAAAAATAGCGATTCTCAATTGCTTTTTTTTTCCTTTTTTATTGCTTAGGTGGGTAGACGAGCCCATAGACATCTACAAAGTAAATGCCGCCACCTACCTTGAGACAGTACCCCCCACGTACTGTAAAAACTGAGACATTTGACCTTCAAACCGAAACTCATTACTGCTTCACGGCAGAAACAGACATGGTGGACCCGTGCGGACTCACAACACATCCTAACAACCAATTAGTAACGCAAATTATAATTTTGCGGCTTTGATTTTTATTGCACTATGCTATTCGTTCGAATTGTCACGTCGCCATCTTGTCGTGAATTTGACAGCTGCGGCAACATGGGCGCCGTGCTGACGGTCGTCGGAGCGTGCGTCGTCTGTGGCTGTCTCCGGCTAGCAATGGCGGCCCTGCTCGTCTCGCTAGCGTTCTTGTGTTACGCACGATACGTCAATAACAATGAAGGAAAGAGAAAATAGATTTGTGCGAAGAGATTTCTTTGACTTTAGACATAATTGCAACTAATTTTACGGCTTAAACTCGCTTGACAAGACCTAAAAAATGTATAAAACATTATTTGCCGTCTTAACAGTCAAATTTAAATACTTGCAAAGTGTACTCTTTTTGAACAAAAAATAGTTGGTCACCTTAGTTTTTTATGACCGTTACATTACAGTAACTCAAGGTTTGTGTACTCCTATCTCTTATTATTGGTATTATTATTTCTTATTCTTATTCTAACCTTAATTATTAGTCTCACAATCACTGGATAAATGATAAAACGCGGTCAAATATTGAAAAAAAATGCACAAAGATACGCACATTCATTCATTACTCTTTAAAAATAACTGCTATTTTTATTAACAAATCTATTAAGTAATCTGCGCTGTTGTAATTTTTTAGTATAACAATGGATTTTTAGTATAACAGAGAAAATTGGCATTACACGCCCGATTTTAGTTGTAAGTTGGATTGTGAATATTAAAATACTGCCAAATTGGACTGATTTTCACGAAGCATTTTATTTTGTAAAATTTGTTCATCGATTTTTCATTGGACATGTAATTTAAAAAAAAAAAAAAACGTTTATCAATTCTCTAGTCATTTTTATCATGTGAATTAATACATCATAGGTGATTTTTTTTCTTCATAACTGTGTGTTGGTTAATAGCTTTATTTTTATATTAAGAAATAACGAGAATTAACTTGGCGTATGTACTCTAAATATAAACACATTAGTAAATACTAGAAATTCTTTTATTTTACCGTTTAAAAAAAACTGATACTAAAATAAAATAAAAAGTTAGAAGAATCTATGTTGAGATATTAAAAAAATTAAGATCACGATACAATGCAAACAACACAAAACAGTTTTTAACCCTTTTTTTTTTTTTAATCCCTCCAAATTCGTAACTAACTGAACAGAGAGGCGTTGGCGAGAGAAAGAGAATTGAGAGAGAAGAGATCAGAAGATTCGTCTAAAGTGAAACAAATCGAAAAATCGTCTAAGGAACAAATCGAGCATTTGACAAGGAAATGCGCTTGCCTGAGAAAGCTGTAAGTAGAGATTTATACTTCCCCAACTTTATGATGTCCTAGTACATAATGTCTTTATTAAATTTTTTAATGGTTTTTATGTTTTGTTTGTTAATTAATTTATCAATAATTAATTAATTAAATTATATTTTTAATTTATTAATCTAAAAACATACAAAATTAGCTTGTTTTGTTTTCTTGAACTTTATTGGACCAAGAACATTGGCACGTATTTTTTTTAAATTATTTATATGTTTAATTTTATGGTGAATGACAATCACAATGAAACGAAATGACAAAATGACATATTCTTATAATGAATATTGTAATTTTATTTCGTAGTAAGCGCAATAGTTGATATCCAATTGTTCTTTGTTCATTTTTGATATTAGCATAGCCGGCCACGTGTTATTTAGAAACAAAAAACAGCCACAGCAACGTGTGGCCGCGTCTGCTAGTATAAGCCGCGCCAATAAAGAAACGAATCGAAAATGACGTCTATGTACCTGCACTGACAGATGGTAGGGTCGACAAACAAAAAAAAAAGATAAAAAGAAAAAGTTGTTCATTGTAAAAAAATATAAAAAAGCAAATGAGAATGTACTTTACTTTGGTGCCCTGGCAGGGGGAGGAAACATCAAAATAACAACGAACAAATGCAACAAATAACAACAGAATTTGAGAGAAAACAAAGCGCGTCGAGACAATGTGAGAACAAAATCAGCACTGATATTTTTTTGCATTCAATACGAGCCGCGACTGTGTGCGACTAAAGACAGCGATAGCTTAGAGCGAGAGCGCATGATCGCCGCCGCCATTTTAGATTCGTTTCTTTATTGGCGCGGCTTATATAATATGAGGCCTATAAAATTAAAGGCAGCTAAATCCAAGTCTGTCAAATATTCAGGTAAACTATAAAAATCGGCCCTAAGCACGTCATTACGGATCCTCCCGATCCATCGAAGTTACTGCTCTTGCTAGGGCCAGTGTTAGCAACACTCCCGGTTTGAGAAATTGAAATAGCTTTGTTCGGGTAGCTACGATATTCTTCATTTTAAAGCATATTTATAAAGAATGAGAATATTACTAATAATCTGAATTTTAAATGATAATAATCGTTTATATTTGAGGACAGAGTAAAAATTAAATTTTTTAATTGAATTTGCTAGAGATTTAGCTGCATTATTTGTTATAACATGAAAATACTAAAGCGTGTCCAACTAACTAAACAAGATGGCGCCATAGTTAATCTATTTTACTACATTATGGCGTTTAGCTGCCTTTGATTTTATAGGCCTCTTAAGTAGATATTCAAACGAATATAAGTATGTTTGTCAGTCTCCGGTATCCACAACACAGGGAATCCTAATTTGGGACCGGATCGGGCTTGATTTGTTCCCAGTTATTTATTTATATATCATTTACAGTTTCGACGACGTGCGCTCCCGGCTGACGGCTCGCGAGCGCACAGCCGAGCAAGAAGCACGCGCCAAAGACAAAGAACTAAATCATTTACGCGCCGAAGTTGCTAGACTCACTAAAATACTCGTTGAGCAAAGGTAATAATAATAATGACACACTTATTACAGGTGGTAGGACCTCTTGTGAGTCCGCACGGGTAGGTACCACCACCCTGCCTATTTCAGCCGTGAAGCAGTAATGCGTTTAAAGGGTGAGGCAGCCGTTGTAACTATACTTGAGACCTTAGAACTTATATCTCAAGTTGGGAGGCGCATTTGCGTTGTAGACGTCTATGGGGCTCCAGTAACCACTTAACACCAGGTGGGCTGTGAGCTCGTCCACCCATCTAAGCAATAAAAAATAAATAAATAAACAGCCCGCTGAGTTTCTTGCCGGATCTTCTCAGTGGGTCGCGTTTCCGATCCGGTGGTAGATTCTGCACTGCTCTTGCTAGGGCCAGTGTTAGCAAATTCCCTCAGGTTGAGTCCGTGAGCTCACTTACGCGTCCCGGCATAGCTGGAATAGCCTCTTAGGCTACCAGCGAATAGGTAATGCTTTTTTTTTATTGCTTAGATGGGTGGACGAGCTCACAGCCCACCTGGTGTTAAGCAGTTACTAGAGCCCATAGACATCTACAACGTAAATGCGCCACCCACCTTGAGATATAAGTTCTAAGGTCTCAAATATAGTTACAACGGCTGCCCCGCCCTTCAAAATGCAATGCATGTTCATAGACGCTAAACGGTTAATAAGTATTCTTCTTCTTCATTGTCGATCACACCACACCGACCTCAGTAATGAGTACTGAGGGTCGTGACCACCTTGGTCCAGTTTTTGCACCAGCTTCACTAAGTCAGTCACCATTATTACCACTAAATTAATAAAATAAAACAATTCACACAACTTCCTGCCTTACGTATCGCCAAAAATAACCGTCTCCAACTGATGTTTTGTCTCCACCTTATCCCAATAGGTGGGGTCGGTACAGCGATTTTTTCTATTCCACTCTCTTCTATCAACCGTCATATCAACACTCACTTCTCTCTCCCACTCATGTCGTCATTCACACACTCCATCCATGTCTTCTTCGGTCGACCTCTTCCCCCTCTACCTTGCACAACCATTTCCATACATCTCCTGTAGTAGAATTATTTTGCCCGTGCAGTCATTTGGGTCATAAAAATCGGAGCGGTGAAGCGAGTATTTCGCTCTCTCTTCCACTTACGAGCCTTATGGACGGGCATAGTGATGCGCATTATTGTTGTCGATAAGCGTTATCGATAGTGTATTTAGTTTTGTCATTTTGTGGACTAGTGATAAAAATGAAAGAAAAAATCACTAATCGAACACTTACACCACATATCGCCGCAGCAAGTTAACGAGAACGGCAGAAATTAACACTTTGTAACTTTTCGGGATCTATTCTTATTTCAGTGAAAATTTTTAACACATTGTTGATAACAACACGTGCCAATATTATTTTGAATAAATTCTGCCGTTTTGATACAAAACAAAGGAGTAGCCATTGTGTCACTAAAGAAATTCAGAGAACGAATGCATAAAAACACATTTCTCTTCCACATAATGTACTATAATTTGCAAGTAAGTACAAATGACTCATATCATAACAATGTCTCACCACCCTTCGTATACCACCCCGCCGCCGTGAACCTGCCTTCGATGACTCATTTGTTTTTATCGATAATGGCGTTGCGCCCGCGCCTAGCTGGGCTATGTTTTATGACCCAAACTGCACGGACAAAATAATTCTACTATAGTCACATGCATGTCCTCTCTACCCATCACCTGTCCATACCTCGCCAACCGTCCGCTCTTTGATTTGGGGCTACTTTCACACTTCCTCTGATATTCACCGCCAGTTCCGACTTTCTAAAATTCCAGTGCTCCCACACTAGGCACGAGGACCAGAGCTGACGGCTGCGAGACGATCCTGAAGGCCGAGGAGCTAGCCAAGACCGAGGGCATCCAACGCAAGAAGGGTATGTCACTGTGACCGTGTACATAATAGGTAAGACTCTATACTAACTGGCCAGCTTTTATTAACATGTCAATAATTTTTACAGGTGCTCACATCACTAGAACGTCTTAGGATAATCTGTTAGATTCTTTGTAATGTGAATCTCTTTGTATTTATAGCCTCCTGGTACTTTTTTTTATTAAATGAATCAAATTCTTTAGGTAATTTTTTTATCTTAAAACCAACCTCTTTGTAATTTATATCCTCCTGGTACTTTTTACGTTCTATCCAGCTAACAAATATTTGTGGTAAAATTTTGCGTATGATGATGATGACTAATGAACCTCTTATATGATATTTTCCAGGTTTTTTTTTTTTTTCGATAAAATAAATCAACCAAAATGTTGCGTGTAAACTCTTTGTATGTATATTCTCCTGGTACTTTTTTAAAACCTGTCAACATCCACATACCCGTGTGCCACCTAGGCGCGGAAACCTCATGCATGAGGTTCGGTCCGTTACCCGGAAAAAGTAAATTACATTAGCAACTCCAAAAGTCACCAAAACAGCGCAGCGTAAGCTATAAGTGACATTATTGCGTTACTCGTGAATGGAGTTAAGGTGTCATTCGAACAACTTATCGTCGTCGTGGCTTGAAGAAAGCATTCGTATGTAGCGATGCACCGGTGTTCGAATCTCAGGCGGGTACCAATTTTTCTAATGAAATACGTACTCAACAAATGTTCACGATTGACTTCCACGGTGAAGGAATAACATAGTGTAATAAAAGTGAAACCCGCCAAATTAAAACTTGCGTAATTGCTGGTGGTAGGACCTCTTGTGAGTCCGCACGGGTAGGTACCACCACCCTGCCTATTTCCGTGAAGCAGTAATGCGTTTCGGTTTGAAATGTGGGGCAGCCGCTTTAACTATACCTATTGAGACCTTAGAACGCATATTTCAAGGTGGGTGGTGGTATTTACGTTGTAGAATTCTATGGGCTCCTATAACCACTTAACACCAGGCGGGCTGTGAGCTCGTCCATATATGCAAAAAAAAGTGGCGCCATCTTTGATATTACACCACTTGCTAACGAGGCGTCGCCACGGTCGGTTGCTTCCCGAGAGATAGTTCTTCACCCACAGTGTGCAAAGCTTAAATAAATAAAACGCGAACCCACTGGGCAATCTTAAATTCACAAATCCAGAGCGTCACTCGACTTTTAACTCTGTCCCGTAGCCGTAGCGTTCAATGCATAATTTTGAATGTTTTTAATAAAAATGATATCGTGAAATTCATGTATTGAAACTACAGATTTCGAGGTTAGAATATAATTAAAAAAAAATGTAAGCCGTCACGGGACGCCTGGCAGATGTGAAAAATCGACATTATTTTGTAAAAGTAATATGCAGAAAAGCACAGATTGTGATAGGAACTAATTATGTCATAATGATAAAATATTACGAAAAAATAATTTGTTTTCAAGTAAAACACAGGTTATATGTACTGTAGTAAACAACACTGTATACACTACGGAGTATACACTATAGGTATCCGAGCTCAGTGTAGCGAGAGAGATGGCTTAACGCCGGATCGAGTGGGAGAGAATCGCACAGTCGATTGCGCATGGCGACGTGTCGCCACACTTTACACACTACTACATATAGACTGTATATATATACCATCATATAGAGTGGCGACGCGTCGCCACGGCATGCGTCGCCACGCCAGAAGTCGGTTTTACGTGCGGCTATAGATGTTTCACATCAAAAAGCAAAAGTTTATGGTTGCTTACACTGTAGCGGTTTGTGTTAATGTAAATATACATTTGTAAATAATATTAACATGTTTAACAAATTAATTTGGTGGAATAAACTTAAGCATTATTAAGTTTATAATACGAAGTAATACACTTACTAAGGTCACATGACTTCTACTAAAATACTTTTCCGGTTTTGTAGACCGAAAATTTTGCTTTAAAATACTTCGCTATGTGGATGTAACTTACTTATTTTCTTTTAAAACAAAATCTCCCTTCACAATGCTGTAATGAAGGATGGTTTATAATTATTATTTTTTTTATTTTTTTTTTATTGCCTTTGTAGGCAGACGGGCATACGGCCCACCTGATGGTGAGTGGTTACCGTCGCCCATGGACTTCAGCAATGCCAGGGGCAGAGCCAAGCCGCTGCCTACTTTTTTTTTTTTTTTAATTTAGCTGTCGACGAGAATTAGCGAATTTAGCAGTCGACGATACATTGAGCTTGATTTTAAAGGTGGATCACTCAGGACGCCCGAACCAATAAGGAAACGCCCGACATTGCCGGAACTGACGCCGCTGCCGCCGGAAGCGCGTCGCACGCTGTATGATTACGGAAGCGGACGCAGACGAGCGAAGAGCGTCGATCTACCGGCAGTACAAGTTCCGGTCAGGATAAAACAACTAGAGGAGAGAACTAAAGAATAAATAATTCAAAATTTTCGAACCTTTCTAAATGATACTACTACCTCAGAGCTCTGATAGCCTGGTACTAGCATTGCTATAGCGGAACCTTAAAATATCTTCTACCGACAAGTTTCCACCACAATCAACCAGTTATCACTCCAGACTATTGAGGCTCGACCTCAAGCCTCAAGCCGGCGGTGATACTGAATTAAAACCACTTTACGTATTTCTCAATAGTGAATGTTTTATGCAAGATATTGCCCTATATATAGATATTTTTTGTTATAAAACAATATGGCTTTGTACTCTTTCGTTAAAGCTAATTTATAAGTTAAAGAGTATTTAAAGTATTATTTAAAATGTTTGTACAATACAAAATATAGAAATAATAAATCGAAAATGACTTCTCCAAAACGTCTTTTTGTGTACAATTTTTTAAAGAGTATATTTTTAAAGAATCCTACTTAAACATAAACTTTTCTAACAAATAATTCTTATAATTAACTCGATACTGCACATTTATACAATTAAGTTTCTCGCCGGATCCGCTCAGCGGGTTATGATTCCGATCCGCTGGTAGATTCAGCGAAGCACTGCTCTTGCTAAGACTAGTGTCAGCAAGTTCTTAAGTTGAGCCCGTGAGCTCACCTAATAGTATGCGTCTCAAATATATTAAGTGTATAATCTATGAGTATGCGCGTATTTAGAATAGTACCTTAGGCTATAAACTACTAGTTAAGGAACGAATGAAAAACGAGAATAGAGATGTGAAAAACAATTCAAAATTAACAGCACGTATTACGCTTTTTAAGCGACTTGATCACAAATTAAGTAGTATAAATAAAATAAAAAAACAAATACCCATAATTAACAAACCGAATTGATGAAGAACAACCAATGATTTTTAAGACATATTCCCCTCACTAAGGTGCCCTTAGACGTCTGACGTTCAAAAATCAAATCGTATCTGTCAATGTCAAAATTGTTGTATCAATTGTCAAACATCAATAAAGATTCACGTTACCTACCAACTAAAACAAAAAAAAAGCTCTATTTGTCTATAACACGCATATTTTATTAAATAATCGGTTTGTAAGCTCTATAATAAAATGGAGGACGCTCTCAACTCTATATTCTATTTTACGTGTGCTACCTCAGAGTTTGTTTATATTATAGATGAACCCATTTTTATGATTTTTGATTTGTGAAAGTCGCCCATCTAATTCAAGTATCAAGAGCCGACCAATTGTTTTTGAATTATCCATATTAATGCGTATTCAATTGACCTCAGCTGCGTTGACGATATTCTCATTGTGTTTTGTTGAAGTCGGTTTAATTATTTATCTAAAAGCCTAAGAATCATATTTAACGGTGAAAGTCTGCAGAGTACGTGAGCGTTTAGAGAAATTTGTTTTGTGAAGCATCCGTTTTTTTATTTAGTGCGATACGATGTATTTACTCTTTCTTAGTGTATAAATATTTTTTAATAAAAATCGAGAAATAATATTATCTGCTGTTTGTTTCATTTCAATTTTCATTCCTGGGTCCGTTCTTTTCCGACAATAAACGTTTTAATCAGTTTTTCTTGATCGTTTTTCTTATTTTATTTTATTGCCTAGATGCGTTGACGAGTTCACAGCCCACAGAGTTAAGTAGTTACTGGAGACCATAGACTTCTAAAACGTAAATGCCGTCACCCACCTTGAGATATGAGTTCTAAGGTCCCAGTATTGTTACAACGGCTGCCCCGCCCTTCAAACCGAAACGCATTACTGTTTCACGGCAGAAATAGGCAGGGTGGTGTGGTACCTACCAGCGCGGCTCACAAGAGGTCCTACCACCAGTATGAATGTGCATTGTCCGCATTTTATGTGTCGAGTGAATGCCACAAATTGGGGAATTGAACAATGCAAGGTACTCTTGAAAAATAAGGAAAACTTAAAGAAGCTTGTAAAATAAATACCTACCTAGGTACCTTCTTATAACTCGGAACAGTGTGCTTAGTGCAAGCTTTTTAACTTCTCGATCGCGTAAAAGTTAACTCAAATACTCAAATTTGTATCGAGTTGGAACAGCGACCCTAGCGGGAAACGTAGGTGAGCTGTCCAACTCCATTCCTCCGTTAAAAGTGGTTAAAACTATATTAAAAAACTCACACTAAGCACACAGCTGTGCGTATCCCCAGCGTACTTACGGAATTTATTTTTCATATGTTCCGGTCCTGAAATGAGTTTCCTGCCAGTGTTCCTTGACAGAACATGCCATACCTCAACTTTTTTTTTAAAGTACTCGGTCATGGGCTACTACACCTTTCATTTAAGGTTCCTTTGATGAAACATGCTTTTCTATTTGTGTTTAAATTAAAGCCTCAATCAGTTTTTATAAAAGCTAATGCCAAAGTATGTAAATTTTCTTCATCCTTGCTTTTGACTTTTTCTTTTTTGACTTTCTCAAAATAGGTTGAAGTGTTTTTATAAAAATGTGGTAATAGCCACAACATTCTGAACATTGAAGAAATTTATCTTTGACGGGAATTCTATTAGGAATTTCTAACTCGTTGTTCTCCGCAACCTTAAAAACATCAATATTTCTACGAATATGTCTTCCATTTTATAATGTAATATCATAATATTCGTAATATAAATGCTAAATCTGGAAATTTGAATAAACCGAAATTTCCACTATCTATCAGAAAAACCAAACGCAAGCTGTCAAAAATGTCATTTCCAAATAACAAAGCGTACTCTATGCAGGGCATAACATAACCCATAAATCGTCAAGAATTTAAATGCAAGGGTTGAAATACAAAATAAATGTCGGCTAACAACCTATTTTTAAGATCGGCGTTCGTCCGTGCGCCCTTGAAAAATGGCGTAGGACGATACGTGTGTCAATTGCAGAGAATAGTCTTCAAGTTTTGCAAATCCAACGGAGCCAGCCGTGGTATGAGGTTAGAAAAACATTGTATATTAAATAACAGTCGAGTACTTGAAATAAAAAGAGACTATTGCCAACCATGAACATAATTAACTAATAACTAGTTAAACTTCCTTGCCTTTCACAGAAAATTTCATTCCGGAATAATTTCTTAGTCCTGTGTAATGGAAACGGATGTAGCACGACATACTTGCTATTTAAAGACCTCAATTACTAATTAAAACCATAAAACCTTGTAACATTCCAGCTTAGTCACGACCAAATACATAAATTTGATATACATAAACTAAAATTACTTTATTTCATAGATTCTCTTCATTCTTGTATCTGTCTCACAAAAAACTTTTACATAATCGAAATATTGATACTAAACTGTCCTAACTCTATGGGTTAAGACCTATAGTGTGTCTACCTAGTTTAATAATACTTATAGTGTCAAACACTGATCATTGTTGTCGTCGAACCTGTCACTTGCGAAGGGCTTTTTTTATTTTTTTTATTGCGCGATGGGTGGACGAGCTCACAGCCCACCTGATGTTAAGTGGTTACTGGAGCCTATAGACATCTACAACGTAAATGTGTCACCCACTTTGAGATATAAGTTGTAAGGTCTCAGTATAGTTACAACGGCTGCCCCACCCTTCAAACCGAAACGCATTACTGCTTCATGGCAGAAATAGGCAGGGCGGTGGTACCTACCCGCGCGGACTCATAACAGGTCCTACCACCAGTAATTACGCAAATTATAATTTTGCAGGTTTCACTTTTATTACACGATGTTATTCCTTCACCGTGGAAGTCAATCGTGAACATTTGTTGAGTACGTATTTCATTAGAGAAGTTGGTACCCGCCTGCGGGATTCGAACACCGGTGCATCGCTTCAACACAAATGCACCGGACGTCTTATCTTTTAGGCCACGACAACTAAATTAATCCACAGACACGGCCCACTGAGTTTCTCCCTAGCTTTTCTCAGTGGGTAGCATTTCCGATCCGGTGGTAGCCCCTCAAGGTTACTAGAAGAGGTGGGAAAAAGAGAACAAAACCTATAGTGGTAAGCCACCAACAAGGATATTGTTCGAAACTGTTCTTATTATTAACACTTATCTTTCAGAGACTTCATAGAGCAAGATTTGGTTGATTTCTCAAAAGACAACCCTGGAGTGGTGGTGTATTTAAAGCCACGTAGACATCGTGGGCCAGTCATAGTTGGAGAATATTGTATGTATTTTCATTAATTCACATTATTCCAATCCGTTTCATATTATGTTTTCTATATTTACTTTAGTATATTCTATAAACATGTGAATATTCTATGTAAATTTTTATCTGCTAATAATATTTATCTTTAAAGTAGTTAATCTGAACATATTTGTTAGTACTGTTCTTAAAATCACAGATTGGCTTATTAACTGATTATTAACTGATCAAATTTATTTTTATTTAGTTTTTTTTCTCTCTGCACCTGCACCTGTCATTTGTGTGCATACTGTGTTATTGGCAAAATCAATACCAAAGGCGTTGGAGCCGAATTTCTTTATAAATAATAATAATAACAATAATAATATTATATTTCATTGTTTAATTAAATAAATTAGAAGCTTAAGCACAGACATTGAGTAACATATTAGCCCAGTGATGTTTCTGTATTTTTATACCTGAGATCCTTACAGGAAGAATGAGACACAGATGGCCCTCGGTTCAGCAGATAGGATAACTAATTATTGCACCAACAAGTCAGACTTCAATTCCAATTAAAGATTCTGCACACCTCATTTGAGGGACTCCATTTGAATGGTAGTCGCTGGCAACATTTCTGTGTATTCTTAAATAATAATGATTCAATTCTTGTTATTTTTTGGGCAGGAATACAGTCCATCTGATGGTAAGTAGTCACCGTTGCTTATGGACGTTACCACTGCACAAAGGCACAGCCCAGCATCTGCCTACTATCAAATATCAACTAAGTTTAACATATTGGGTTGGCAGAGAGATTTTAGATCTATTAGTATTCCTCCCACATTTCATTAACTTCCTCTTCCATGCCCCTTGAAACTTTATATCAAACTTCTCCCTATGGTTTTCCAGAGCTGTCACATTTTTCCTTTAAACAAGGCTTAAGTAACGTATTTCGACAATAGGCAGGGCCACTGTTCCCTAGATTTAAATGTGTCTGTGGCAGTATACACATTGGAAATTATTATATTTTATTATGAACTTAAGCACATGTGTTGGATAATAAATAAGTTCACTGTGTCTCTGTCTTTATACAAACCGCACTTAGCAATCCTTTTATTAAAAAAAAGTGGTGCACGTGAATGAAGCAAAACTTCTTTTTCGGTGCGTGGTATTGTGGTTTTCTTCATTTTTCATCCTTAAATCAGATTGCTCTTGTAATAGGGAATGCTGTGTATAAAAGATGCGACATCTTCAACATTTGTATTATATATATTTTAAATTATAGGTAGAAAAAGAATTATATATATTTTTTAAAATATTTCAATAAAATTACACTAAAGATGTACAGTACGCTTATGCTCCTCATGAAAGCTCCTCTTTCAGTGAACGGGGACAGATTGTGGATGAGCGTCCACAACAAAACCCACGAGGAGATCGTAAAATGGGTCGAATTGTTCCGAACTCAACAAGGCAACAACTGGAACTCGAGACTCCGCAAGTACCAGTACACTAACCACCCCTCGGTCCAGGGACCCTGGACTCCGTTCGCGTTCAAGGACCCAGAATTGAACACGGCCGAACTACCCGACGTGAGGTTCGGTAGTAACAATCGACTACCCGCAACGGCAACTGAACAGTTGAGACTGATGTTCGAGAAACAAAAGTTGGATGAATTAAAAACGGCGGAGTGAATTATAGATTAGTGCTCTGTAGTTATAGGTTATGTGTGTTAATTAGATTAATATTAAATAATGTTTTGTTTTATATGGGAGTTTTTTTTTCTTATTTTCGTCTTAAGCAAAGAAATTTTGCATGAGCAATGTAGTGTGTATGTGAAGTATGTAGTGTGTCTTAATACCGGTCACCGTGCTCGTTGAACCCGTCATTTGCGACGAAGGGCTCGACGAGTAAACTAACCCATAGACATCTACAATGTAAATGCGTCACCCACCTTGAGATATAAGTAAGTTTTAAGGTCTCAAGTATAGTTACAACGGCTGCCCCACCCTTCAAACCGAAACGCATTTCTGCTTTACGACAGATATGGGCAGGGTGGTGGTACCTACCCGTGCGGACTCACAAGAGGTCCTGCCACCAGTATGACAAGATTATTGAGTAAAGAATACGTCTAGCTGAAAAACGTTAATATCGCCGCTAATCTTGAGAGGTCTTCAGATCATGACATCCTTCAAATCTTTCGGTAGGCAGCGGCTTGCCTCTGCCCCTAGCATTGCTGAAGTCCATGGGCGACGGTAACGACTCGCCATCAGGTGGGCCGTACGCTCGTCTGCCTCCAAGGGCAATAAAAAATAAATAAATAAAAAATATTTCCCGCCCATATTTTCCACAGTCCGCAGAACACATATCAATATCGGGTTGCAATTACAAAAAATCAAATCTGTCGTATAAAAATAAGTGTCAACTTCAGATTTAAAAATGAAAATTAGGATTTTCTTTTTAGTTTTTCCTCACAATACTGATAACATTTCACTTGTACTCCCCACTAATTTATATTGCATTCGTTCGTGTTAGAAATATTCACATCGAATATTAATAAAAAACAATGTAAAATTTCAATAAATTTTAATCAACAATATATTTTACATACTTATAACTTTATGAAGACAATAAATTAAAAGACGTTCAACAAGAATGAACCAATACATTAATAATTATAATTTAATAATCTTACTAAGTTTAAATAGACGCTTGTTTAATTCCACAGTTTCCTTTTGAGGCTTGAGGTCGCACTCTCACTTTTACAGCGTAACTGTCCCCCGCCAACGGAAACATACCACTGCCTGGCGACATAAATGCCAAATGACCGACAAAGCAGTAATTTAACCATTACTCGAACCAGCGTCACTATAAACATCACCCTGCCTATTTCTGCCGTGAAGCAGTAATGCGTTTCGGATTGCAGAGTGGGGCAGCCGTTGTAACTATACTGAGATCTTAGAACTTGTATCTCAAGATGGGTGACGCATTTACGTTGTAGATGTCTATGGGCTTCAGTAACCACTTAACACTAGGTGGGCTGTGAGCTCGCTACCCATCTAAGCAATAGATAAAAAAATCTAAGCAATAAATAAAATATGAACATGTATTACATTTTGGGCAATTTTTATGGACATTATGGACTTTTCAATTAAAATCTCCAACCATTCAAGAGCCACGTTTGGACTCTGCTATTGCTTACAACGTCTCGAGAGTTATAGGGTATCACTTACTGCTTGATAGGTTTCATTTTTATTTTTTCCTACCTATGCTGATAGCCTTTAGAAGCTATTTTAGCTTCTCCTTGACGTGTAGATGAGCTCACGGGGCTCAAACCGAAGTGTTGCTAACACTGGCCCTAGCAAGAGCAGTGCCTCACAGAATCTACCACCAGATCGGAATCGCGACTGAGAGGTAAGTAACAAAAGTCAGCATAATAAATGAGGCCGTCAGCGCAGAAGTGGCCTAAGCTTACCATAGTTATTATGGAGCAATGAGGTCTAAGTTTTCATGAATTTGAATTTGAGGCAAAAAGACAATACGCCCAAAAATAATGTTTACAAAGCTATCTGTTATCTATGGGTGAAACTATGGATAGGTCGGTTTTGCACTATCTGTTATCTATGGGTGAAACTATGGATAGGTCGGTTTTGCATCATTTTATTTTTATTTTTAAATAAATGCAATATACATAATTAAAAGCATTATTATGAAAAATTGTGGGTTAGGCCACTTTTGCGCTGACGGCCTCAAATANCTCACTGTTGAATTAAACAGAGGACCAGTGAAGGTCTCTATTGATCGCGTAAAGCCTGCCTACATCACAACGGACTCAACCAGCACCACGGTAATAGCACCGGAGCCGGCGATTAAAAACCCTGATGGTCAACGCCCTGTTAGAACAACAAGGTCAGGGCGCATAATCAAATTCCAAAGTTTTCCAGGTCTTCCAGACTTCAAGGGGGGTCGTGTGGCGGCACATCACTAGCCGTGTGTGCGGCCACCACTAGCACAAAACCCGTCCAGGCGACAGCGGTGTGCGGGGACGAGAGCGGGTAACGCGCAGAGGAACCGGCTCCCAGTCGGCCGCCGAGAGCGCGGTGCGCTACGAAACAACTCCAAGATCGAACCTACGCAGCTCTGCTCGCACGCGCATACAAATATTATATTTCTCGTCTCGAATCGAATAAAACGCATTAAAGTCAGTTTAGTTCTTATTGCAACGACGCCTTCCCGCTCACACAAGTACCATATAACAATTAAAAATTTTATTGTAAAAAAAGCGTGAGGTGCATGGTATCAGTAGTTATAAATATTTTATGAACAGATATTGAGTAGAAGGGTTATTTTGATAATATCCTGAAAAGCACCCCATACTTATTTACAATAAAATAATTTTTTCTTACACTATTTTTAATTCAAATTTATTTTTGGCGTATTTTGTTAGTTTTTTTAAGCTATTATATATTTTTGCTTTAGATGCTTGGATAAGCTAACTTACCGGATGGTAAGTGGTCATTGTATTCCAGACGTGATACATTAAATCTATAAAGAAAACATTACACACACTACCATGTATTTGACACAACACATATATTGTCAATTGTCAAACTTCTTTTAGTGTTTAAAGTCTTTTTTTTTTTTTTATAACATCTAAGAGGCAAACGAGCAAGACGGGTCACCTGATGGTAAGTGATTCACCGCCGCCCACGGTCACCAGCGTTTACGCCAGTGCGTTGCCTTGGTCTGTGTCAAGTCTGTGGTCAAATTGAGAATAGATGAATATTGTTTGTCTTTATTATTATTTATGTATTTAATAATGTAGTTTTGGCGATGTGGATTATATTATATAAGTATAATAGTATTTGACAATAGAACCATAATAATGTTTAAACATAAAATTTCAATTGGTTAAAGTCGAATTTCGACTACTGCGGGACCACTAGTTCAAACAAACTCACGAATGCTTACGGCAGAAATAGGGGAATGATAGTACAAACTAGCTCACAACACGCCCCACCACCAAAAAAAGGATAATCTTACCGCTAAAAGTTTATTTTCTACGTCAATCTAATTTTAATATACGAACAGAATGTCTGTCTGTACAGCGCCCAAGGACATCAACACTGAGCCCGCAACTTACATATTACTAAAACCCTGCACTAAAATTTAACATTAATTGATATTATAATTCATTAATAATTATCATAAATTAACGGTACATATTATTATTATTATTATATTAAGTTAGGTAACATCGTTGCCGTCTTGAGGTCCGTGGACAGATGCTTATCCGAACAATGCAAAGGAATGTATTGTTGGCAAAATATACAGCTCACAAAAATATGGTAAGCTTACAACTTGGTGCACGTGAAAGAAGTGAAACTTCTTTTGCGATGTGTAGTATTGTGGTTTTCTTAATTTTTCATCCTTATATCAAATTTCTCTTGTAATAGGGAATGCTGTGTATAAGAGAAACGACTTAGCTCAATTTGTCCTCTCCTTCTCTCCACGGTCGAGTGGTTCGCGAGACGCTCTGTCTATTTTCTCACTCTCGCTCGTCCTAAATTGTATCTTTTCTCTCTAGCCGTAACGAATCTGTCGCGAGTAAAATTTTACTATCAACGCCTAAAGAAGTTTCACTTCAATTTTTTTTTTCCTATTCTCCATTTTGCACATGCTGTAGTTTTCAACGAGGTCGACGACCTCATGTCTTCTTACATATTCATTACGAATAATAAATACATATATTGAACTCTATTACGCGGTTATTAGTGTTCAATTTCGGATGTGTATTTTATTTGCATGTTCCAATATTGATTTTGGGTATATAATATTTGATTTTTGTAGCGAGCGAAGCCGCGGGTAACAGCTAGTATATCCAAAACTCTCGTATCTAGAGGAACTTTTTGGCGGGAACGCGAGGAGTGAAGTTATGTGATTTGTTTTATTTTGTTTATTTTGTGTTTCTTCAGGTTTAAATGTGTAATAACGGTGATTTATTAACTGTTTAATATCTGTGAAAGTGCATAAACGTGGGAAAATGAAACAAAGCCGCTGGACGTAACTTCTCGGGATCCTCCAAAAAGTCCACTAAAAAACTTTCAATAAATGATCACCATTTTACTGGGATTATATTTCATCCTATATCATCTCATCTCATTTCATCTCATTTCACTCCATTTTTCATTAAAATAACATGATGAATTAAAATAAGACCTGACTTAAAGGTCTTAGTTACCAGGTCATAAAGTCCCTTAAAAATACGATTTTTAGAATTAGTAGTAGTTACTAGAAGTTGTCTCTCCAACATTCAAAGAGTTGCAAGAGTCAAACACCATTGAGCCTCCGAAGCGCTGCCCCCTAATACTGTTCAGCCATTATGAGAACCAAGAGTCCAGTCCAGCCGCTGAACGGTCTACATCCAGAACCCTTGCCGTCTTCGCCAGAGTACTGCTCCCAGAGGTAGCCCGTCCTCCTGTACTCGGATATGATGTTGCCTGGAAGAAAATATGTTTTTTCTGGTGCACTTAGTACTAGGGAGTCATGAGTCTCGAGGAAGTAATTTTTAATGCATAAAATTTAATGTTCTACAATAGCATCGCGCTATAGACATTATAGAGGTAATCTTGAATATGACAAGTTTCAAACAAAACTTTTTTAAGGTATTGCATAGCTTTTATCGCGGGCTTTGAGCGCGGCGACCGAATCAATAAATTCCGTAACGAAAATAAAACCTAACACCCCCCAGTCCGCTTACCATGTAGCTCGCGTTCAACACATTCACACGTGGCGCTTGGGTAGTGTTTGTGAATAAGCGCGCGGCGTGACATCGCACTGCATGCGCATCATGAAAAGTCTGCCCATCTCTCTCTCGCGCGGTCTTGCTTATGAGTGTGAAGGGGACAGTTAAGGTTTTGCTTTTGTTAATGTTTATAAATATAGCGTGGTCTTATTTTATTATTGTTTTAATATAAAATTATTATTGTCTAAATATAATTGCATAAGTTGATAAAAAATGCTACGAGGGCTGCACTAAAAGTATCGGGAATGGAATATTTCCACTGTTCCTGTCATATTAAAATCTTTTTAATTGAAAACTCCTTGGTTTTAAAAATCGAATACCATTTATTTATTTAAAAAAAGATTCTCGGTCTTGTCACGAGATTTTGTCAAACTTGTTTAGTCGTTGAGAAAATGGAATTGACTCGAGAAAATTCAAGAGCGATGATTTATTATGACTTTCGAAGTGGTTTAACACAAAAACAGTGTGTTGACCGGATGATTTCTGCATTTGGTGATGAAGCCTCATCCAAAACCACAATTTATCGCTGGTTTGCTGAGTTTCAACGTGGACGTGTCAAGCTCAATGATGATCCCCGTCAAAGTCGTCCAAAAACTGCAGTCACCCAAGAAAACGTTGATGCTGTGCGTAAGCTCATTGAGGAAGATCGACATGTGACATACCGCGAAATTCAGGCAACTTTAGATATTGGCATGAGTCAAATACAAATAATCTTGCATGAACAATTAGGTGTAAAAAAGTTGTTTTCCCGATGGATACCGCATTCGCTCTGGGAAGAGCAAAAAGCGGCACGCGTTACTTGGTGCGTCAGAACTCTTGAAAGATTCCACGCAGGATCCTCAAATGCTGTATACAACATTGTATCAGGTGACGAATCCTGGATATACGCGTACGAACCCGAAACAAAAAACCAGTCACGAGTTTGGGTGTTCGAAAATGAGTTAAAGCCAACAAAAAGTGTTCGTTCACGGAGTGTTGCAAAAAAAATGGTGGCCACGTTTGTCTCCAAAACCGGCCATGTTACGACTATTCCTCTTGAGGGACAAAGAAAGGTTAATGCAGAATGGTATGCTAGCATTTGTTTGCCACAGGTCGTTTCTGAACTCCGTAAAGAGAACTGCAACCGCCGCATCATCCTCCATCACGACAATGAGAGTTCTCACAGCGCGCACAGAACAAAAGAGTTTTTAGAGCAAGAAAACATAGAATTATTAGACCATCCACCGTACAGCCCCGGACCTAAGCCCTAATGATTTCTATACTTTCCCTAAAATAAAGAATAAATTGCGTGGGCAGAGATTTTCATCACCTGAAGAAGCATTGGACGCCTACAAAACGGCCATTTTGGAGACCCCAACTTCCGAATGGAATGGTTGCTTCAATGATTGGTTCCATCGTATGGAAAAATGTGTCAAATTTCGCGGAGAATACTTCGAAAACAATAAATACATTTTTAAATAGTAATGTTGTGTCACTTCGTTAATTCCCGAAATTTTCAGTGCCGCCTATGTATGCAATAGCTGTACCGCGGCAGTCGCCGAGTGTTTCCCTTTTAGGCAGATGTTCATATGGCCCACCTGATGGAAAGTGGTTATCGTCACCCATGGACATCAGCAATGCCAGGGGCAGAAACAACCTACTGCCTACCGTTAAATTCAGGACGTTAGTCTTAATCACCAGCTCGGTGGAATATCTTCTCTTAGTGTTTCCTAAGAATTTATGTAGGGGAGTAGGGGATGGGGATGGTGACCTCTTACGTCAGGTGGTACTGTAAGTTTGCTGTTCGTCTACCTTATTAAATAAAATCGTTCCAATCTCAACAAATATAGACGCGAAATCATGTCGTCATACTTGCGGCTGAATTTTGATATTCCCTTTGCTTTACGTGGCATTTAAGCTGACCGATTCGTTTGCCAGTTTTGGTTAATAAAAGAAATACTCTGGCCTCTTACTATCGGATGACCCATTAGCGCAATACGTAGGCAGTAATTTTGAAAAACGCTGCAAAAAACTAATAGGAGTAGTGTAATGTAGAATAATGTTCACGAGTGCTCACAAATGTTAAGCAGTCAAGTGTGTGAATCACACCCTGAGAACATTACCAACAATCGCTCTTCAGATCAAGCGGACTGCTCGTTGGACTGTAAAACTGCAAAATCGATGAAAATAATTTGAAAAAAGTACCAGGGCATCATAGCTCTGTAGGAAGTTTAACTTACGGACGACGTTCTCTCTCAGACGATCGTGCAGCTGTCCCGCTTTCGCCTTGTACGGGCCGGGCACGGTCGCGTAGTACTTCAAGCTCGAAAGCGCTAAATAATTAATGTTCATCCATATTTGCCCGCGCCAATATGGCGGATCGTGTTCCGTGTTCCTCTTCATGTATAATGGCGATGATTTTGACAGCGATCTGACAGATGTGTAAATATATTTTTAATAAGATTTTAATCGGCTGGAGACTTTTGAACCAAGTCTTCTTATATTTTTTATACATAGGTGTGTGGACGAGCTCACGGCCCACCTGATGTTAGGTGGTTACCGGAGCCCATAGACATCTACAATGTAAATGCCGCCACCTACCTTGAGACATGAGTTCTAGGGTCTTAGTTTTAACATTACCACGGCTGCCCCACCCTTCAAACCGAAACGCATTACTGCTTCACGGCAGAAATAGGCAGGGCGATGGTACCTACCCGGGCGGACTCACAATAGGTCCTACCAGCAGTAATTACGTACGGTACCAACACTAATGCATAGCTGTTGTGCGTTCCAATTTCCAGGATGGACCAGATACCACTGCATTTATGTTACCCAGTATCCACTTAACGACAAATGCGTCATGAGCACGTCGTCTTCTTTGATGTAAAAAATGGAGCGCGTGCAACTTGGTGCATGTGAAAGAAGTGAAACTTCTTTTGCGGTGAGTAGTATTGTGGTTTTCTTCATTTTTCAACCTTAAATCAAATTTGTTTTGTAATAGGGAATGCTGTGTATAAGAGAAACGACCAAGCTTGCCTTGTCCTCTCCTTCTCTCCACAGTCGAGTGGTTCGCGAGACGCTCTGTCTATTCTCTCACTCTCGCTCGTCCTAAATTGTATCATTTCTCTCTAGCCGTAACGAATCTGACGCGAGTTAAATTTAACTCTCAACGCGCCAAAAGAAGTTTCACTTCAGAAAAACTCTGTACAGAGGGCACTTACCTGAGTCCGTACGGAGACCACAATAAGTCGGGCTTATCGAGAGAATCCAGTATTCTCTCCAGTTTCTCGCTGTCAGATTTAAGGACCTTCAGCAGCATCGGGAACAAGGATATGTATCCTGAAAATACATTGCCATGTTTATTGACGTACAGTAAACTCGCTCGCGGAGATGTGAACATGGGACACAAGTGGGGGACCAGTGGGGGGCAAGTTAGAGATGTGGCTTCTTGGATTCTTTCCAAGATCTACACATCCTACTGGTAGCCTCAGGGGGTTATGCTAGCTTCACCCTGACTTGAGGACAAGCTTACGGGGCTCAGTGTGAGAGAATTTGCTAACAATATCCGTAGCAAAAAGCAGTGCTTCGCTGAATCTACCACCGGATTCATATGCCGTTTCCCTGAGGAGATCCGATGAGAAACTAAGCGGGTTGTGTCTCTGGGTTAAAATGCACGACGAGCCTTTGACAATAACCTACATCTTACTTACAATATAATAAAAAAGAAAATTCATTGTTAAAATCGTGTATCAAGAATTTTCAGGTTTTAGACTAAGTATTGTTCATGAGTAAAATTTGATTTCAATTTATTCTTTTGTGTCAATTTTTAGTTGTCATTACTATTATAAACGCTATAAAAGTTTAAATTCTAAGTGCGTAAATAGCACACACTGTTTTTAAATGAATCTGTGGTGTTGGAAAGATAAATATATTATCAAACACGTCATACAACACAGATTTATATGCACAAATAAAACCAACTTCTAAAATATGAAATGAGAACATTACTATATTATATTCATCTATGCTAATGTGACAGTCAATTAGATTATCTATACTAATATAGAAATCTAGTGGTTTTTACGGATGTTCCGTTATAACTACCGAACCATGCATCCGATTGACTTGAAACTTGGTATCCTTGTAGAAAATACATGTACTTAATGGATAGGCTAATATTTATATGAGTGTTGGACTCCCTAATAATAATGTTAATTATAAATGCTCAGCAAAGCGGGCGAGTACGGATAGTTGATATAATAATATATAATTGGAAACAAATCTCGTCATCCGTCTCCAAATTAGTACTCCCTATGTTATGGGTACCAGAGACTGACAAACATACTTATATACGTCTAAATATATACGTATATAGATAATAAACACACAGACGACGAGCAAACACAACTGTTCATCACACGAATGCGATGCGGGAATTAAACCCATGACCCTCGGCATAACAGTCAGGTCCGGTAACTAATGCATCACCGAGTCAACTTCACAAATACATACTAATGACCATACGTACTTAATTGAGACCCTCCTCTATTTTTGAAGTCGGTAAAAAAAATTCTACCACAATTATGATGGTCACCGTTTACCGTCCTGTCATTACTTAATAAAGCTCCCTTCTTCATGTAGCTTTCCTAACGATTGAATGTCAAAAGTTTTCTAGAAAATTCGACTTAAAAGTACCAGGCTCACATAAAGGCAAACAAGTTTACCGAAAGCGGACGTGACGAGCATCGGTTGCGGCGCGGTGGTCACGACTCGGACCATTTTACCGTTCTCGTTCGGCTTCTTGGACTGCTGTCTGACGAGGCGCACTCCGTCCGTGTGGAGACCTTTTGGAAAACAGCGCAGGTGATGTTAAGTGGGTACTGCGGCGAAGGACATAGTTAAGAAAGTAATTAAGCAAGATGAAGTGGCAAAGGTTACAATTTGTTTTCTTCGTACATAACTTCTTCGTCACATGCAATTTCTAAAAATAGCCTTTAAACCCGGTGTTTTAAGGTCTAATATGGTTTATAGGCGCATAACACCTTCATTCAATGAAAAAAATTAAAAAAACAAAATGTGTGCAATTCACACGTGGTAGAAGTGAAACCTTCCAAAATTAAAATACAATTATCCTAAACGTCTTAAGTATATGTAAAATTTTGTCATTAGTAAATAATTGTAAGGTAGCGCCGTCTGTGAATTGATATTTTAATTTCACGTATAATCCTAAATTAAAATTCACTACAAGAGCTTTCATACACACGTTAGTATTAAAAAATCTCACAGATGGCGCTGTATTAAATAGTATGTATATTTCTGTCTCATTCTTTGCTGGCTTCATCCTACACATTTTTGTATTTGTGTCTCTTACCTGTCGTTTTTTCCGTTGCATCCGATTTGAAATCACAACGATTCTAAAGAAGTTTTCACTTCAAAAATCTTAAAATTGTACTTAACCCCTTCATCTACTCAAGTCTTCAATTAAGAAAATTTTTTTCCAGTTTACTTTTTTTAATTATTATTGATTTTAATTGTTATATTACTTAGAACGGAATTCCACTGACCAAATCCGAGCCTATCAGAATTGGTCATTTCCTGCAGTACATCACAAAATTTGTTTTTATTGATTGCCTTTGTTGACCAACGAGCGTACTGCCCACCTGATGGTAAGTGATTACCGGGATTATACTGGTGGTAGGACCTCTTGTGAGTCCATAGGGGTAGGTACCACCACCCTGCCTATTTCAGCCGTGAAGCAGTAATGCGTTTCGGTTTGAAGAGTGGGGCAGCCGTTGTAACTATACTTGAGACCTTAGAACTTATATCTCAAGGTGGATGGCGCATTTACGTTCTAGATGTCTATGGGCTCCAGTAACCACTTAACACCAGGTGGGCTGTGAGCTCGTCCACCCATATAAGCAATAAATCGCTACGCAAAAATCGCTATTCCGAGCTAGGTCGTTGTAACTATTAATTCGATTAACACTTACTGCTAGGTGTGCCAGATGTGCCGGTTCGTGCCATGAGACATATTATAAAATCAAATAGCATAGACGACGGCTTATAATCACATGAGACTGCTTGTATGTCCCGAAAACCAGCAGAGTTGTGAGTCCAATGTACCAGGAGAACATAAACGTACCGTAGTCAGCGTAGGTTTGCGTGCGAGTCGACCAGTGGAGTTCGTTGAGCAGATCTTCGTCGCCCAACTGATCTCTTGTCGTTTCGAACCTGGAGTTTACGTTCCATTGCGGTTATTCTTTGAACAACATTTACGGTTTGAACTCGCGTTTATAAATTTTTTTAGCGGGTTTTATGACCTGGTAACTAAGACCTTTAAGTCATATCTTATTTTAATTTATATTCATATTTTTATGAAAAACGATATCATGGAGTGAAATGAAATGAAGATGATTAATTTGAAACATTAATCAACTGGGACGAAATTTAATGAAATGAAATGGGATGAAATATAATCTCAGTAAAATGGTGGTCTTTTACTAAAATTTTTTCAGTGGACTTTTTGGAGGATCCCGAGAAGTTACGTCCAGCGGCTTTGTTTCATTTTCCAACATTTGTGCACTTTCACAGATATTAAACAGATAATAAACCATCGTTATTACACATTTAAACCTGAAGAAACACTAAATAGACAAAATAAAACAGATCACATAACTTCACTCCTTGCGTTCCCGCCAAAAAGTCCCTCGCATTCATTACTATAGTTACGGTATTGCGAACATTTCGAGAATACTTCACAGTTGTCGTGGCCACGGGCGACTTACATATTGTTACGCCGGTAAGAGTAACGCCATATATCGGCGAATAATCGAACGAATATCGAGGGATCTAGTAGTACCTAGAACGCTAGAGACAACGCCATCTATTGTCGGATAGCGGAAACACAATACTAGAGATGTGTGGAATATACTCGATAATTCTAGGGATGTGGTATCGAATATAAAAGCGGTGGAGGGATAGCACGCAGTTAGTTAGTAATCGGAACTACTCGAAGCGAAACAGCGAACGGATCACCTGAAGCGAAGCGAAACAATTGAGAGTTTTAAAGTGTTTGTGAAGCGTTTTAAGTCTTCTAAGTGTTGAATACAGTTTTTAAGTTGTACTCCGGTAGAATTTTTATTTATCCCGAACCCCAGCGCGTAACAATATTATATGTCGGCAGTCCTATAGGTTATGCTAACCAGCACAATCGACGATGTGTCAAAGTTCCAGAGAGGCCGGTCCCTTTCCCTTTGCCGATGCATTTTTTTAATTAAATTAAATATAGTACTTACTTGCTGACGTCACGCTGTAGGACGTCCGCTATTGTGACCATTGCGTCGGCGGCCGCGTACATCCAACACCGGAGATCTACGTGTCGTTCGATGTCTGACGGATGCGAGGCCCTATGAAGATTATCACTTTTATTTACTAAGATGGGTGGATCAGCTCACGGCCCAACTAGTGTTAAGTGGTTACCGGGCCCGGCGACACGAGTTCAAGGTTTTTGATTACTAGAGGCCCTTTCAGTATCATCAGGACAACTAGGAGGGATGGAATTTGCTAACAGCTACCCGAGCGCCTTTGAAGGAGACCAACAACTCAGGAGCAGCTGCTACGCGAATGAATCTACTATCAGATCGGAATCGCGACCCGTTGAGAAGATCCGGCGAGAAACTCAGTGCGCTGTGTCTATGGGTTAGGTTGCACGATTACCGGGGTCTGTAAGCCTGATCCTAGTGTTAGAGCTGAAGGCGTCTAATGCAAGGGTTATGTCCAAGGTCTCATTTCTACAGTACAACGGCTACCCCACCCTTTGAACCAGATCGCGTCACTAACTCGCGACAGAAATGGGTGGGGTTGTGGTACGTACCCGGACGGACTCAGTTTGTTTCCTCTACCACTGTCATTAGCCTTTTAGTTAATTCCATCCACCACGTTATATTATTTCATTGAACCACACTTCATTCCAATTGAATAGTCTATCTAATATTATAAAGAGGAAAGATTTGTTTGTTTGTTTGTTTGTATTGAATAGGCTCCGAAACGACTGAACCGCTTTGAAAAATTCTTTCACTGTTTGGAAGCTACACTATTTCCGTGGGACATAGGCCATAATCTTTTTTGAAAAAAATTAGGAATCCTTACTAAAACTCCAATAATGTAAGCCAAGGTGTAAAAAAATACCTAAAATATTCTTTACATCGTGTGCCCTGCGAAAACTATTGATGATAGAATAAAATAATATACTACGACTTTGTAGAACACATTATTATTTACAAAAAGTATCGCGACAGCATATATCTAACTATTATAGTTATGCCGCAATAAGTGTTCTTTTATTTAAAAAAATAAAACAAAGTCGTTGAAAATTTTGTTAAAGATCCGAGCGGAGCCGGAGTGGGCAGCTAGTTTCAAATAAATCAACTTCATTTTGTTACATAATAATTCCAGAATTCGGTCCACGGGCCTATCGCCACACACCTTGAGACGTGAGGTCGATGTCTCAACCGTATAACGGCAAGATGGTGACACTTTCAGCAGGAGTTAGCAAACACAAGTACCAGGGCGACATGAATCAATAGAAGTACCTCGGATAATCGTCGAGGCCGGACGTTAAGGTTTTGGGGTTGAGCTGGAGGCCGTCGTCCTCCCGACCCCTCCAGCGGTACGACGTGGCCTCCTCGCCCTTTTGGGTCGTCTGGAACCACTGGTACCAGGCCTAGGGGCGCAGTACCAACAATGTATAAACAGAATTTCTTATTCAACTCATAGCAGTGGTACCCCTGATGATTATAAAAATCGATTTAGTTACAAATCATCCATTACAGTCGCGACCCCAAGGGAGGGCGTTGGTAGGGTATTGGGGGTCCCAATTTTTTAATTTTTCATTCGATTTATCTTTTTCATCTGCGACGTAAATGCGCCACCCACATTGAGATATAAGTTCTAAGGTCTCAAGTATAGTTAAAGCGGCTGCCCTACCCTTCAAACCGAAACGCATTACGGCAGAAATAGGCAGGGTGGTGGTCTCACAAGAGACTCACAAGACGTCCTACCACCAGTAATTACGCAAATTATAATTTTGCGGGTGCTTTGATTTTTATTACACGATGTGATTCCTTCACCGTGGAAGTCAATCGTGAACATTAGTTAGTACGTATTTCATTAGAAAAATTTGTACCCGCCTGCGGGATTCGAACGCCGGTGCATCGCTACATACGAATGCATCGGACGTCTTATCCTTTAGGCCACGACGACTTCAATCTGCTCGTAACACACCCCCTCCCTAACTACCCAGGGGACTTTTTGGCGGGAACGCGAGGAGTGAAGCTGTGTGATCTGTTTTATTTTGTTTATTTAGTGTTTCTTCAGGTTTAAATGTGTAATAATGGTGGTTTATTAACTGTTTAATATCTGTGAAAGTACACAAATGTGGTAAAATGAAACAAAGCCGCTGGACGTAACTTCTCGGGATCCTCCAAAAAGTCCACTGAAAAAATCTCAGTAAATGACCACCATTTTACTAAGATTATATTTCATCCCATATTATCTCATCATCATCATCATCATCGACAACAGCCCACAGTCGTCCACTGCTGGACATAGGCCTCTCCCAATCCACACCACTGAGCCCGGTCTGCGGCTCTCCTTATCCACTTCTTGCCGGCCATCGTGCGGAGGTCATCGCACCACCTAGCCAGGGTGTTTTTGTTTAATATTTGAAATTAATCATCTTCATTTTGTTTCACTCCATATTATCATTTTTTCATAAAAATAAGAATATAAATTAAAATAAGACATGACTTGAAGGGCTTAGTGACCCTTAGTGATAAAATACGTTTAAAAAAAAAACTACCCAGGGGTTGCCATTGCACTACATCCCTCCCCAGCCTACCTGCAGTCTACTGAACATCCGGTCGAGCGTACCCCTAAGCCGACCCTGGGGCTTGAACAGCTCAGGACGCAGTTGCACCAGCCTTGCCAGTGTTATTAACAGTATAGGAGGATTTGCCGCCGCGTTGTTCTGCACTACGAACTCCTTGGGAACTCTAGCTAGGGCCTCGACGCCTGGAAAGGATATCGTTTTGGCGTTTCATCTAAGAGCTTATTTTGCGGACGTAAACACAAGCGTTTTTTAATACGCTTTTATTAGCTTCAGACGTATGTATGTTAGTATGTAACGGAATCTTTGAACATGATTTTGACCCCCTTCAAAACGTCGTATTAACTCGAAATTTGGTACACTTATTAAGGGCCGACAACAATTCCATATTTAAAAAAAAAAAAAGAAAAAAATATATTAAAAAAATTTAAATTCAACTAAAAAATTTAAAATAAATAATAGTTTTAAAAAACTTTAATAAATTTTAAACTATTTATTTGAATTAAAAATAGTGTAAGAAAAATGATTTTATTGTAAAGAAAGCGTGAGGTGCATGGTATCAGTAGTTATAAATATTTTATGAACAGATATGAGTAGAAAGGTTATTTTGATAATATCCTGAAAAGCAACCCACGCTTTTTTTACAATAAAATTATTTTTTCTTACACTATTTTTAATTCAAATTTATTAAAATTTATTTTCTATTTTTTAGTTGGTTTTTCTATAAAAGCGTATTTTGTTAGTTTTTTTAATCTATTATTTTTGGAAATATTACGTCACAAACAATTGGAATCGTATCTCAAGAGTGGACGGTAATTATCCGTAAAGACCCTTAGCCAATTAACAAACAACATTGATATAAATTAATATTAACAAATGACTGAAGACTAAATCCACATCTGTGTTTATAATATAGTGTGCATTAATTTTCATTCTAAAGTGTATTTCTTTCTTCTTTTTAATCTTAACAATTTGTTACGGTCCAAATTATATGGATTTTAAGTACTTTTAAGAAATCGCGTTGGGACTAGAGATGTGGCGTTTTGGCCAGCTCTACCCCCCTATAGTGACATCCCTGACATTAAGCTCACCGCCCTTTCGTCGGACCAAGGACCTCGTTTCGTGTGTGCAATTATAAAAACTAGAGGTCCCGCAGTAGTTGAAATTCGACTATAATGAATTGGAATTGTAAGTTTGTACACTATTATGATTGTATTTTATACTTCTATAATCACAAATTTCGCCAAGACTACACTATAATTTTTTATTATTTTTTTATTGCTTAGATGTGTGGACGAGCTCACAGCCCACATGGTGTTAAGTGGTTACTGGAGCCCATAGACATCTACAACTTAAATGCGCCACCCACCTTGAGATATAAGTTCTAAGGCCACATTATAGTTACAAACCGAAACGCATTACTGCTTCACGGCAGAAACAGGCAGGGTGGTGGTACCTACCCGTGCGGACTCACAAGAGGTCCAACCACCAGTAATTACGCAAATTATAATTTTGCGGGTTTGATTTTTATTGCAAAAAATATTATTAACAAAGACAAACAATATTTAATCTCAATTTGACAACAGACGTCAAGAACAAAAGTTAGACAATAAGTAGTATGCATGCGTGTGTGCGTCAAATACATGGTACCGGTAAAATGGGGCGATTAGGGATTGAGAGGCGAATCGGGAAAAAACCGGGAAAATCTTTCGACGCTCAATATAAGTTTTATATTCATTGCAAAACCTTCCATTTTTTGTAGTTTCATAGTAGAATGTTGAAAGTTCACAAAACAACTCTGAATATGCATGATAATAGCTGCTAACTTATAAAAAATCGCGTTTCAAATTAACTTCCTGTAGTGGTAATTATTTTAGTGCTAGAAACTTTGCTCTCTTTTATTTATTTGATAATAATAGAAGACGACTATGATTTATAAACTTTATTTAGTGTTTGAACCAGCATATATATTAAAGGTAAGTCTCAGTTGTTATTAGGTTTAATGTATTTGATTAAATAAAAATACATGTAAAAATCTGTTGTTTTTGGGGATATTGGGGACGTCTTAGGTACAAATAACAACGAAAAAGGGGTCAATTGGGATGAGAATACGTGAAATGGAAACGACCTAANATTAAAAGTTAATCCATGTTTATTAAAAATAATTTATGAAGTACAAATCAAATACAAATCAACGTAATATTTATTAGTTGTTAAAAAATATTTATTAACTGTTAATAAGTATTTGTTAATTATTAATAAATACTTATTAAATGTTAATAAATATATTTTCCTTCTAAATAAATATTAATTAAATGTAGAAAAATATTTATTAAAATTAAACAATTGCTTTCAAATAATTTAAATTATTAAATAGTTAATGAATCTTTTTATCAGTGTATATCTATACTTTTTATGTTGTGCTTTTATATTTAATTACATGCTATTAAAATAGCTATTTATTTTTTTTCTTATTAAATGTGCTTGAATTTGTTTATTCACAGTCCTGAAACCTGTCCATCAACAACAACCGGTCATAAAAAAACTCAAGCCATTCGAAAACAAGAATACAGACTTCGGATGAAAGAAAAGTCTGGGCCTAAAAAACAGAAAGAGGACAGACCAGCCAAAAAGTCCGCAGCGGAGCGTCAACGGGAATGCAGGTTGAGAAAAAAACTCCGAGCGAATCAAAACATCAACGCAGAGTCAAACTCAGACGTTACTGAAATTTTACCGAGGCAAGATGCAGGACCTTCCAACTACTTGACATCGGTAACTACAGCACAGGTGGTACCTTCAAGTCCTGACGATGGACCTGTCATTACACACCACGAAGTAGTTATTGAGACTGCACCGGTATCAACAAAAAAACGTCAAAACGTACAACAGCACAAAAGTGTTAGTGATGTGTACAAAAAAAAAAGGAAACCAAATCAAACCAGAAACCTTAATTTTGATGAGATTTGTCAGCTTCCCAGCCAACCTATACTGACTCCTCGTTTGCTAACTAATGAAATGGAAATTTTACAACCAGCCGAGAATGAATTCATTGAAAATGAAGACAATATCAACATGTTTAACGTCAAAGAATTTAATAAGTATTTATTAACAGTTAATAAATTATTTATGAAATGCAATTTATCAAATGTATGAATAAATATTTGTTAGCTACTAAAAAAAGGTTTATTAAAAGTTAATCCATGTTTATTAAAAATAATTTATGAAGTACAAATCAAATACAAATCAACGTAATATTTATTAGTTGTTAAAAAATATTTATTAACTGTTAATAAGTATTTGTTAATTATTAATAAATACTTATTAAATGTTAATAAATATATTTTCCTTCTAAATAAATATTAATTAAATGTAGANATACGAGAAATAGTTCTATATTACGACAACACGATACACTACAGATTATTAACAAATTAACGAGACACAAAACAAACGACTAACAAATATATGAAAATACAATAATGAGAGAAACGCGCGATCAGTACGAGGCTTTGTGGCGGACTGCCGGCGCAGCAGCCCGGCGTCACCTGCGATAACGCGGCCGCGCGTTGGCTCCAGATTGGCGCGCGCACGCATCACGCAATCAGGAGCCAATCAGGCGCATAACGCATTTCGTGTGACATGCTATACTCTCTTGTACGATTTTGGTCCTCATAATTTTCATACCCCGGGCCTATATATGTAAATCGATTCTTAAGGAGTAAACTCCAAAAACGTCAAAACGTACAACAGCACGAAAGTGTTAGTGATGTGTACAAAAAAAAAAAAGTGTGTGTGTCCGCTCCGACGCACGACTGGAGTTTACTGGATATAAATATAAATTTGTGTCAGTTGAATACAGTAAAATATGGAAGTTACGTATTCTAGTGAGAATGATCCGGGAGTTGCGGAACACGTGGATGCGGTAATTAAGTAAGTCTATATAATTCACTTTTACAATTAATATATAAGTTGTCCATTCACTGATAGAAGGAATTGTTTATATTTAATAAGCTTTATTAATAAATGATTTTTTAACGTCAAAGAATTTAATAAGTATTTATTAACAGTTAATAAATTATTTATGAAATGCAATTTATCAAATGTATGAATAAATATTTGTTAGCTACTAAAAAAAGGTTTATTAAAAGTTAATCCATGTTTATTAAAAATAATTTATGAAGTACAAATCAAATACAAATCAACGTAATATTTATTAGTTGTTAAAAAATATTTATTAACTGTTAATAAGTATTTGTTAATTATTAATAAATACTTATTAAATGTTAATAAATATATTTTCCTTCTAAATAAATATTAATTAAATGTAGAAAAATATTTATTAAAATTAAACAATTGCTTTCAAATAATTTAAATTATTAAATAGTTAATGAATCTTTTTATCAGTGTATATCTATACTTTTTATGTTGTGCTTTTATATTTAATTACATGCTATTAAAATAGCTATTTATTTTTTTTCTTATTAAATGTGCTTGAATTTGTTTATTCACAGTTCTGAAACCTGTCCATCAACAACAACCGGTCATAAAAAAACTCAAGCAATTCGACAACAAGAATACAGACTTCGGATGAAAGAAAAGTCTGGGCCTAAAAAACAGAAACAGGACAGACCAGCCAAAAAGTCCGCAGCGGAGCGTCAACGGGAATGCAGGTTGAGAAAAAAACTCCGAGCGAATCAAAACATCAACGCAGAGTCAAACTCAGACGTTACTGAAATTTTACCGAGGCAAGATGCAGGACCTTCCAACTACTTGACATCGGTAACTACAGCACAGGTGGTACCTTCAAGTCCTGACGATGGACCTGTCATTACACACCACGAAGTAGTTATTGAGACTGCACCGGTATCAACAAAAAAACGTCAAAACGTACAACAGCACAAAAGTGTTAGTGATGTGTACAAAAAAAAAAGGAAACCAAATCAAACCAGAAACCTTAATTTTGATGAGATTTGTCAGCTTCCCAGCCAACCTATACTGACTCCTCGTTTGCTAACTAATGAAATGGAAATTTTACAACCAGCCGAGAATGAATTCATTGAAAATGAAGACAATATCAACATGTCTGAAGAGTCAACATCGGAGCCAAATTCTAGCCTGCCATACCGTAGCTATCAAACTCAAAAATCAGCACATAAGCTATTTAAAAAAAAGATCCTACAGAATTCCTTTGGTCACGCCTGTAATGTTTGTGATCGTTTATGGTTTTTAGAAGATCTTAAATGTGGATCAGCAGATGAAGAAATCTTACTTAAACGAATTACGGTAAAGTAGTCCCATAGTAGTATAATTTACAATTATCTAATATCTTACCAACTCTAATTATATGATATTTTTCAGAATTTTACGGATGTCACTCAAGTCATGATGTGCAAAACTTCCAGAGCCAGTATCTTAAAAGGCAATATTCCCTTTTTAGCTACGTATAATGGTTTTAAATATCCACAAAGACCAGTGGATTTGCCGGAATTGGATATTATTGCTGAGAGACTTATTTCACCAAGGCTTCCGTTTATGCAAATACGTAGATTACGCCATTTCAATGGTCAATTTGCTATAACTGGCCAAATAATTAATGTGCCTGTCTCGGTTGATAATATGATAAAACTTTTACCAAGGCCGCTTGATGGAAATGAAGAAGACTATTGTATTAATGTTCATATTAAGAAGAAACTTATTCNCAGAGCCAGTATCTTAAAAGGCAATATTCCCTTTTTAGCTACGTATAATGGTTTTAAATATCCACAAAGACCAGTGGATTTGCCGGAATTGGATATTATTGCTGAGAGACTTATTTCACCAAGGCTTCCGTTTATGCAAATACGTAGATTACGCCATTTCAATGGTCAATTTGCTATAACTGGCCAAATAATTAATGTGCCTGTCTCGGTTGATAATATGATAAAACTTTTACCAAGGCCGCTTGATGGAAATGAAGAAGACTATTGTATTAATGTTCATATTAAGAAGAAACTTATTCATAAAACAAGTTACCTTCACGGATTGGTTAAAGGTATTGTCATTAAAAAATGGTTGACGTATTTAATTGAAACACCTCTGTATAAGCACTTCCAAATTAAAGTGGATGATGCTTGGTTTACATCCAATGGTGAGAAAGTCATAATTGATTACACGGATACAGGAGGATCGAGTAGACAAGATGATGTGCAAGAGCTTCCATCCTCTGAAACAGCAAATCACACTCACTCTGTGGATTCTGACTCCATAGAAAAACGAATACACATCGATGATTTAAGTGAACATATTGTGATTGATGAAAGTCTGACTGCGCAACAGCAAACTCATGTGGAGTGAGGATAAATTTTTACAAATTGCTCCAGGTGAAAATAAAGTTCCAGAGAGTTTGTTATTTGACACATATGCAGAGGAATTATCATTTCCAGCCATTTACCTTGGGGAATTTCGTGTATTTCGAGAAGAAGCCAATGTAACGCCATTCATGATGGCAACAAGTGAATTACGTCGTTCAGACAGGAGAGGAGTACTTCCTAATAAGCTTCTTTACACGGCAATGAAAATAATGCGCTTAAGAGTTTGCAGTGCTCTGAAGATTGGATTCAAACACATCGGTAAGGATACCAATATAAGTAAAGAACGCGTATTATCTGATGATTACATAAATGCCTGTTTGGAAACAAATTTAGCTTTTATGAAGTCAATCCCTAATTCTGCAACTTATTGGTCTGCGCGAAAGCGAGATCTTTTTGCAATGATGCGCCAGTTGGGTAGGCCAACTATGTTTTTGACCATAAGCGCGAATGAAATTGGATGGCCAAACCTTCTAAGGATTTTACACAAATTGAAAAATCAGGGAGAAGAGTTAACCGATGAGCAAATTGAAGTGTTGAATTATTTTCAAAAGACAACTCTGATTAATGATGATGCCGTCACCTGCGCAATATATTTCAATAAATTGATTAATGTAATCATGCTTATATTGCAGTCAAAGAAGTTGAGTCCATTTGGTAAATATCGAGTGAGTCATTATTTCAAGCGGATTGAATTTCAACATAGAGGTAGCCCACACGCCCATATACTATTATGGTTAGATAATTCACCAAAAGATGCATTGGGGAACGACTACGAAGAAGCGATTGCATTAATTAATTCGCTTATTTCAGTGGATTCATCTGAAGCTTCCGGTCACATCAAACTTCAAACTCCAATTTATCACCGAAGAATATTCATGTGCTCAGTACGTTGTCGACTACATAAATAAGACTAACAGAGGAATCAGTAACTTACAACAAAAACTCGTCGAAATTATGAATGATAATCCTGACTTCGACATTATTGCTGCTACAAAGAAACTTAGCGTCAACGCGCTGAATACAATTGAAATGTCAAGCCAGGAAGCAGCGTGGTTTCTTTTGCGTGAACCCATGTCTAAAGCGTCAGTAGCTATTGAATATATTCCAACATACTGGCCACAACAGCGAGAAAGAATTCGAAAAACATTAAAAGAATTAGCGCAACTTGAAGATGATGATACAAATGTATGGAAGGAAAATTGGTTCGACAAGTACGAGAAAAGACCTGCTATAATTAATGATATCACTCTAGCTCAGTTTGTTTCGCGATATACTGTCAATGCTGCCGGAAATGTTAAAGAACGAAAAGTCCCAAAAGTTATAAGATTCCGAAATTATGATATGGGGAAAGAGTTAACAGAATACAAGAGGGAAATGGTTACGCTACATATGCCTTTCAGAATTGAAGAAAGTGATGTTTTGAGTGATATGAAGTTTTTGCGCATCTATGATGAAAATGAAGATCTCATAATGGAGAGACGAAAAGAATTTGAATCTAATTTAGATATCGCAAAAACAATGGAAATTTGTGCACAATTATGTCGGGAAGAGACGGAGCTCAACGATGTGCAGGCAAATAACGATGACCAGAACAGGGCTAATGTCCAAGAAATTCTAGATCCATACCAACAGTTTCTTCAAGATCCAAACTCGGTTATTAACGATGACTTAGTATCAGCTTCAATGAATAAACTCGGAGCGATATGGAAAAAAAAAGACAACCTCATGGAGACTCCAGAGTTTCTTGAGCTCATGAGAAGAACTAACGAGAAGCAATTCGAGCTGGCTCAACACATAATATGGTTATTGACTTCAAAAAACCCAATGCCGTTACAACTATTTTTGACTGGTCCTGCTGGATGTGGGAAAACTTTTCTCATCAAACTGATTATGGAAATTTGTAATAGATTCACAGATACAGATGGCTACTGCAATGCTTATCTTGTATGTGCATCCACTGGAAAAGCTACGGTTGCTATTGGAGGTACAACTGTTCACACCGCTTTCAAAATTACTCTATCCAGTTTTCAAATACCTTTATCTAACGAAGTCAAGGGCTTGTACAGATGTTTATTCAAGTATGTAAAGATGATACTTATTGATGAAGTGAGTATGATAGGAGCAGAAATGTTAGAACGTATAGATTTGAGGTTGAAAGAAATAACCGGAAATTATGATACCTCTTTCGGTGGATTACATATTATTTTTATTGGTGATTTGAGACAATTGCCTCCAGTTAGAGCCACACCAATTTGGAAACAAAAAATTCAACGGATTGATGGTCAGCAGTTATGGAGAGGAATTAGTTTTTACGAGTTGACAGAAGTTATGCGCCAAGAAAATGCTCAATTTTCTTCATTATTGACAAAAATTGGTAATGGAAATCAATTAGATGAAGACCAGTTGCAACTAATTGAATCAAGATTTTGTTCAGAAGGGGAAGCGGAGCAACGTTGTCCTGGAGGAATTCGATTATTTAATGACAACCATTCAGTTGATGCGTACAACTTGAAAGTGTTGAGTTCATCTGATGAAATATCAAATTCAGTTGCTGATGATGAATTTTTGGGGTGTGAAAATGATCGCGAAAAGCAAAGAGTTGCTAGAGAAAAGTTGTACAAACTTAGTACAATTGACACGGGAGGATTACCTTATGAAATTATTTTTGCTCCAGATAAACCCTACATGATAACGACCAATATTGATGTTGCTGACGGATTAGCCAATGGAGCGGTAGGCAAATTGATCCATGTTGAATTAGGTTTTGATGATAGAATTTTAAGAGTTTGGCTTCATTTTCCTAACGGCGTCGGTGTTAAAGCTCGAGCAAAAACAGCTGGATATGCGAATTCAAAAGGAATTGATAATACAGCGGTTCCTATCAATCGTAGAACTGCAACAATTCCGGACCGGAACAAATCAATTCATGTCAAAAGAAATCATTTTCCGTTAAAACCAGCTTGCTCCTTAACCATTCATAAATCTCAAGGTGGAACTTTTGATGAAATAGTTTACAAGTACAGCAAAGCTCACTCACAGTCTTTAGTTTACGTAGCTTTATCTAGGGTTACGAGTCAACAAGGACTTTACATTGTATCTAGTGAAGATCAACGTTTTCACCATGGCAGACGTGAAAATCAAGCGATGCTTTTGTTACGAAACGAGTTTACTCGGCTTTCTACTGTCCATCTTAATACAATCGATCGAGTTATACTCGAAAAGATTAATGAAGGGAATATCATTGTTTTTTCTCTAAACTGCCAAAGTCTCCGGGCACATGCATGTAATCTTCGTGGCAACATAATACGAAAATCACATGTTTTAATGTTATCAGAAACTTGGCTTTCTAACAACGAACAGGTTGAAGTTGGAAATTTTAATCTCATCACACAATATAGGCGACCAAACATAAAGCGTGGAGGAGGGGTCTGCATTTATCACAATACTGACGATTCACAGCGGGAGTGTGCGGTCAATAGTGATACTCAATTGAGAAGAGGTCCCCAGCACACAAGTCTAACTAAATCTGCTGTAGGAGATATATGCGCCGCAAGATACACTACATCCAGCGGTAGAGAAATTATTATGGTGACTGTTTATATTTCGGTCAATACGAATGTTACTGATATAATAGATTTTCTCCACGAAGCATTGCTAGTATACACAGAAGGGGGTTCGAAACTATTAAGAAAACGCTATCATGAACTTCCGCTTATACTTGGTGGAGATTTTAATATTGACTTTAATAAAGAAGATGGTTTCCGGTTGATACAATTCCTTAAAGACGAATTAAACTTAGATTTAATTTCTGGAAGAACACTGGGAACAACTAGATATGATACCACTATTGATGCGATGTTTTCGCGATTTATTACACATATATCGTCCGACGTCCATGTATCGTATTTTAGTTACCACAAACCGATCGTCTCAGTATTCAATGATGTTGATATTGTTCCTGGAATAAATACACCGCAAGGTGATGTAAATAGTGAATAAAATCAATCTTGCTCAACATTCTATTATATTAAATTATTATTGTTTATATTTTTTCATGGCTTCCTTATGTATGTCAAAAAATTTATTGTATAATTAATAGAATAAAAATCTACCGTGCATAATCTAAGTATCATCAAAAATGCATTCATTTATACCCGTATTCCCTTATCTATTTATTTATTTTATAATCGTTCTTGAGGAGTAAACTCCAGTCGTGCGTCGGAGCGGACACACACACTTTTTTTTTTTTTAAAGTATTTTGTGTATTATTCGTTAACTTGGGACCTTGTCTTCACTATATAGTCATATTCACTAGTTTATTTGTCACTTGTACGATTTTTTATCACTAAATTCACTTTAAATTATATTTTTAAATAACTTTTTTACGGTCTATGTTGTTACCGCGTCTCAGTACCGCCTACCCTCCCTGGAGAAAATAATAAGACAAAATAAAAAATAACCAATCAATGAAAGTGAATAATGTACTTAGTTAAAAGAACTGACGCTAAGTAACCATTGTTATTAATTACTAGCTGTACCCGTCCGCTTCGCTGGGCATGTAAAATTTACATTATTAATTCTCACCCCCACAAAGATTACACATGGTATATAGTGTGTGTAATGTGTTCTTTATTGATTTAATGTCTCTTTTATGCATTATTTAAAAAAAATATTAGCATTGTGCACCTTTTCTCTATATTCTCTATAAGTGTGGAAAATTTCATACTCCTCCGTAACTCTGTAACTCCAATTTTCGTAAAAAGGGATACAAAGTTTTTGCTTCATATATAGATAATGAGTTGACATTGAATACAAGAGAAAACAAGTATTCACATGAAGAGAGCTTGATGAAACATTTGAGTGAAGCGTGCCGGTTCGCGTCGGCCGATAGATGTCGCGTTCCCGGGCTTCTCTGCGTGGCCAATAGATGTCACCACCAGTCAAACTCCTCAATCAATGGCGTAAATTATTTTTGTCATATTTTAATTTTTCAACGGTCGAGTGTGACACGAAAATGAATGTTGCTTAATACGTGCTCCGACACGACTCCTACTTATATTATTTTATGAAAATATTGTTGATCGCCAAACACACATCCCTGAGAGATAAGAGGGTAGTAGCAATAATCGACAGATACTCGTTACTTCTGATCAATAGTTGGATACAGTAATCTGGGTGTGATACTCTCTCTATGACCGCCGGTGTAGTAGTATTAAAATAGGTGTAATGCACGTTATGCACAATAATAAAAAGGTCACTTTAATGCAATTATTGTTATTATTATCCGACTTAAAAAAAAGTAAGAACTTCTCAATTCGATGGTTTATTTATCCACAGATTCGGTAGAATCTGGCGCCAAGTTCCGTTCAAAAATCCCGTTGTAAACGGAGCGCCAGACTACCGACTGTGTTTACTGTGAGCAGAACAGTTTTTTGAGGTTGCGAAATTTTATTTAATTCTACGGTACTTCTGGTTCCTAAATTGTATATTATATCAATCACTCACAACTTTATTTTACTGATATTAACTAGTNTCTTTTATGTATTGTAGTGTTGCTGTGTGCCGGCGGTCGCTGTTGGTATTGTGTGCGTAGGTATTTTATTTTGTAATAGACTATTAGCCTTGAAATAAGTATCAGATTTATTTAATTAAATAATATTTTTTTTTACTAATTAGATATTTCATTTTAAAAAGTCTTAATACCCTGACTTACGTTCCATTTTCGTTTCTATGAATTATTTAGCTAGCTGTGTAGGGTGACTGTAATTTACCTAGTTTTAACTAAATTTTAGAAAAAAAATTTGGTACATAAAAAACAATCAAAATCGATCCAGATTCCGATTCTGAACAAATTACTTTCAGGGTGTGCGTTAATTATGTTACATGTTGTATATATAGATATGTTTTACCTAAAATCTGTTCCCTCGCTATCCAGCCTTCCACGTTGATGAGGTCCAGCCAATGAGCGGCTATATCGAGCTCAATATCCGGAGACCACCTTCCGATCAGAAGTCCGTGGAAGCCCTCGTCCCAGAGGAATCCTCGAGGGAAGAATGATCTGATCAAGGAAATAAATATTTATTTTACTTTTAACACATTCCCGTGAAGAAGATGGTTATAAAAATAGGAACCTAAAACCTATTTGGTTTATTAAAAGCTTGTTACCCTGCGGCTTAGCCCCCCACGAAATGCAACTTTATATGGAAACATAAAAGCCACAAGACGATTCAGAAAGCTGACTGACTAAATAAAATATTTTTAGATGAACATACATCTTTTATATGTATATATATATATGTCATTCCAATTCACGTGTTGAGGTTGCGGTATAGTCACTAGTCCATGGACTACATGCGTGCTTTTACGATTCAAACAATAATTATGTAGTCCCCGTTTGAAAGGTACGGACAGCCTACCGAAATGAAACGAAAACTTCCAACGTGAAGTCTCGAGGTTGGGGCGTAGTTGTCCGTGGACATCACTTGTATGCCTGCGTCATAGTACAAACATAATAATATATAAATACATACTGTTATTTGTATATTAAATGAATTTAAAAGCGGCCTGTCATGAATCGCAAAAGTACCAGGCTGTCATAAACGTAGAGAGCTCACCTGCTTGGGACGGCCGTGTACAGGGGCGCGCGCCAGTACGGCACCGCCTCCTTCGTCTACTACGACTACACTCGGGCGGCGCCATATAAGGAAGTAGTAAGACACCTATATTTTGCCTGTCGGTCGCTGTATTCATCGCATAAGTACCAGGCTGCCATGAACGCTGAGAGCTCACCTGCTCGGGACGGCTGTATACAGGGGTGCGCGCCTTTTTTTTTTAAATTCGTACCTAAGCTGAGCTAGCCTTGAGAGGCTATTCCAGCGTAACCTTAACTACATAGGCTGCACTAAAAGTATCGGGAATGGAATATTTCCACTGTTCCTGTCATATTAAAATCTTTTTAATTGAAAACTCCTTGGTTTTAAAAATCGAATACCATTTATTTATTTAAAAAAAGATTCTCGGTCTTGCCACGAGGTTTTGTCAAACTTGTTTAGTCGTTGCGAAAATGGAATTGACTCGAGAAAGAGCGATGATTTATTATGACTTTCGAAGTGGTTTAACACAAAAACAGTGTGTTGACCGGATGATTTCTGCATTTGGTGATGAAGCCCCATCCAAAACCACAATTTATCGCTGGTTTGCTGAGTTTCAACGTGGACGTGTCAAACTCAGTGATGATCCCCGTCAAAGTCGTCCAAAAACTGCAGTCACCCAAGAAAACGTTGTTGCTGTGCGTAAGCTGATTGAGGAAGATCGACATGTGACATACCGCGAAATTCAGGCAACTTTAGACATTGGCATGAGTCAAATACAAATAATCTTGCATGAACAATTAGGTGTAAAAAAAGTTGTTTTCCCGGTGGATACCGCATTCGCTCTGTGAAGAGCAAAAAGCGGCTCGCGTTACTTGGTGCGTCAGAACTCTTTAGCGGTAGGCAGCGGCTTGGCTCTGCCCCTGGCATTGCTGAAGTCCATGGGTGACGGTAACCACTCACCATCAGGTGGGCCGTATGCCCGTCTGCCTACAAAGGCAATAAAAAAAAAAAACTCTCGAAAGATTCCACGCAGGATCCTCAAATGCTGTATATAACATTGTATCAGGTGACGAATCCTGGATATACGCGTACGAACCCGAAACAAAAAACCAGTCACGAGTTTGGGTGTTCGAAAATGAGTTAAAGCCAACAAAAACTGTTCGTTCACGGAGTGTTGCAAAAAAAAAAATGGTGGCCACGTTTGTCTCCAAAACCGGCCATGTTACGACTATTCCTCTTGAGGGACAAAGAACGGTTAATGCAGAATGGTATGCTAGCATTTGTTTGCCACAGGTCGTTTCTGAGCTCCGTAAAGAGAACTGCAACCGCCGCATCATCCTCCATCACGACAATGCGAGTTCTCACACCGCGCACAGAACAAAAGAGTTTTTAGAGCAAGAAAACAGAATTATTAGACCATCCGCCGTACAGCCCCGACCTAAGCCCTAATGATTTCTATACTTTCCCTAAAATAAAGAATAAATTGCGTGGACAGAGATTTTCATCACCTGAANATTAGACCATCCGCCGTACAGCCCCGACCTAAGCCCTAATGATTTCTATACTTTCCCTAAAATAAAGAATAAATTGCGTGGACAGAGATTTTCATCACCTGAAGAAGCTGTGGACGCCTACAAAACGGCCATTTTGGAGACCCCAACTTCCGAATGGAATGGTTGCTTCAATGATTGGTTCCATCGTATGGAAAAATGTGCAAGAAAGAAAAATGGCAAGAGCAGTGCTTCGCAGAATCTACCACCGGATCGGAAACGCGACCCACTGAGAAGATCCGTCGAGAAACTCAGTGGGCTGTGTCTGAGAGTTAATTTACTCGCCGAGCCCTTCGTCGCAAGCGACGGGTTCGACGAGAACGGTGACCGGTGCTTGAAGTACCTAGAAGCACCGTTAGTCACTTCACTTCACTTAGTTAGTGGATCGGGGGCGCGCGCCAATACGGCACCGACTCGTTCGTCTACTACGACTACACTCGGCCGGCGCCATATAAGGAAGTAGTACCAGACACCTATATTTGCCTGTCGGTCGCTGTATTCATCGCAAAGTACCAGGCTGCCATGAACGCTGAGAGCTCACTTGCTCGGGACGGCCGTGTACAGGGGCGCGCGCCAGTACGGCACCGACTCCTTCGTCTACTGGGACTGCACTCGGCCGGCGCCTTATAAGTGAGTAGTACGGCGCCTTATAAGTTAGCAGTACAAGACACCTCTATGTTTGCCTGTCGGTCGCTGTATTCACCGCATAAGTACCAGGCTGCCATGAACGTAGAGAGCTCACCTGCTCGGAACGGCCGTGTACAAGGGCGCTCGCCAGTACGGCACCGACTCCTTCGTGTACTGGGACTGAACTCGGCCGGCGCCATAGAAGTACCCGATCCCTCCGAGCATATTAGAGAGCGCCGCTTTCGCCACGTCAACGTCTTCTTTTCGATACCTGTAATGAAATTGAATTGGACATGATACGGCAATAGGCAGGGATTCACTGATATCAGCTAATGAATGAATGAATAATGAATGAATAAACGATGAATGAACGATGAATTAATGATGAATTAATGATGAATGAATGAACGATGAATGAACGATGAATGAATAAGGAATGAATGATGAATGAATGATTTATTTTATTTCAAACAACAACAACAAGTCCATATGTGTACATAGTATCATTGAAACATACTTAAAATTAACAGAACCAATCAAATAAAAAAAGATACATTTATTAAAAATAATTATCAGTTGAATACATTTAAAATACTCCATTCAACTGATACTCATTTCGAACCAACCATTATTATTATGTGTATTAAACACTGCCTCGCCTGAGAAGACGGCAGGACACACTCCGGCGAGGTGGGCAACAATCGGCCGGAGCGTTAGGGACTATTGGGTGAGAAACCGGCGAACTATACGGGCATTGTCCAGCAAGACTGCTTTTTGCATTAAGGCCACCACCGACTTTTTGTTGAGACCAAGCCTCTCGAGATGTTTTGAGAGGTTTTTAGGGACCAAACCATTCACCGATACAACTACCGGGATTATTTCTGTAGATACCACCCTCCATGGTGACATGTCGGTCACCTCGTGCGCCAGGTCCAAATATTTGGTATTTTTATCTGCTTCGGCGCGCACGAGGTTCTCGTCATAGGGAATGGTGATGTCCACCAGAAATACCCGAGACTCCGTCCGGTCCATCAGCACGATATCAGGCTTATTCGCAAGAATAGTCCTGATATCGTTATTATTATTATTATTATTTAGTCCGCAAGTGAACTATGGTACATTGGTTCAAGTACACACAGTCATAACGGTCTGCTAATGCCTTCAGGATGCTGTTGGGGTTGATTGATTTTGATTTTTGATTAGATCGTTGATGCTCACCCCTTTTCTTGCAATTTAAACTTCTTCTCGAACTCATTGTCGAAGGACTTCTTCTTCTCTTCTAGACTCTTGGTGAACTCGTCTCCTTTAAGCGGGGGAGTCGGTAGCTCTTCTGTGGTATAAACTACGTCTAGAACGAACGGCGCCTCAACTATCAATTGTATTAGGACGAAATTTGCGTCCTTATTCTGAAAAAAATATATTTATATCGACGGTTATTGTACTTACACATAACACAGACAAACTTGACTATTGAAGTGACACTTCTTTAGAATCGTTGTGATTTCAAACTTGATGAAACGAAAAAATAAGTCCATAGAGACACAAACACATAAATGTATAGGATTCAGTCGGCGAGAGAATGAGATAGAACACATTAGACGTTGTCAGTGTACTGTTTTTTTTTTAATACAGCGCCATCTATGAGATTTTTGAAGTTATACTTATTTAGGCGCGTTATGAAAAATTGATGAGAGTGAAATTTTAAGATGCGCGCGCACCGTGACACAAAATTAACAGAATGAAGTTGCCCTAAATCGCTCATTACAATACGACCGACGTAACTTGGCGAGTCTGAATATAGCCGCAGGTGAACTTTCCGAAGCGTACCGAGAATTACCGAATTTATACGATGTCAAGAAAAGGGATGTCCAATATGCGTGTTTGAGGATGTTGTTTAATCGATTTTTTTTCAAATTGTTTAAATTTAAATAAAAAAAAAAAGAAATAAATTTAATAAAAATAAATTATAACTTCTTACGCGCGTACATAAGTACACGCACCCTTTTTTAATACTAACGTGTGTATGAAACCTCTTGTAGTGAATTTTTATTTAGGATTATACGTGAAGTTAGATACGTTAAGTTATAGGGCGCTACCTCATACTATAAAAGATGATTTACAATTATTTACATATACTTTTAGGATAATTGTATTTTAATTTTTGAAGGTTTCACTTCTACCACGTGTGAATTGCAAACATGTTTTAATTTTTTTATTTGATATTATACTTAAGAACTAAAGCCACATTAAATTTTTATTGTATTATAACACGAGAAGTGAAACACTTCATTTTAAAATCACATTCTTATGAATAGAATAAATAATAATAAAATTTGATATTTTTAACTTTTTAAAAGTAGATTTTAGTGCAAATGATTACGACAGTAAAATCCAAATAGTAGAACCAAAAACGGATGAAGTTAAAGAAACAGAAAAGTCCGTACGTATGGCACATCACCATGTCCTCCTGGAGGTACGACCCGGGGAGAGGTGACGTCAGCGGGCGGCCACTGGTACGTCTCAGGACGCTTCCTAGACACCACGACACAAGGTCATGCCGCACCAGTCAGAAGACGCGAGAAGAAAACCACGCCAGAATCCACAAGAAGAAGACCAACCAATCCTCCCATTTCCTTGTCCAATGTACCAGGGTATAATAAACATGAAGAGTTGAACCCGTCTCACCTTGACAATGACGTCGTCGTCTTCGGACAAAACGGCTATGTTACCGATTTTAGAATGCTTGTCTCCCCTCAATAAGCCATAGAATTTCTCCTTGAGCAAATGGAGGCCTTCGGCGTGCGCCTCCGAAAATGACTTGTGAAGAATTTTACCTGATACATTCAAAGGACAACGTGAACTTTTAACACACCGTCTCATAGCAAACTCGCTTAAATATTTTACGAAATTCACCTTTATGCGGTACGAGATTGAGGCGAAAATTCCTTAAATTCGACGTGTGGCCGAGTATGTCCCCCCCTTCAATCCACAGCCTCGAATGTGGGGCGGCAGGTCCAAGGGATTCGTCTAAAGCGCCGTACCATACCAGCGCGAAGGGCCCAGGTGATCTTGCCTGAAAAATAGCAATCGAGTTATATTCGGTAGCCAAGAATTGTGTAGAAGAAATTGTGCAGTGTGAAGCTTACGTGTGGACATTTAGAAACTTCCTTGTATTTGTGAGGTCCTAGTACTTTTGGTCTGAAATAAATACTAAGAAAAACAATTTTACCGACAATTTTTTGCAATAAAAAAATTATTGCTTAAATGGGCAGACGAGCTCACAGCCCACCCGGTGTTAAGTGGTTACTAAAGCCCATAGACATCTACGACGTAAATGCGCCACCCACCTTGAGATATAAGTTCTATGGTCTCAAGTATAGTTACAGCGGCTACCCCACCCTTCAAACCGAAGCGCATTACTGCTTCACGGCAGAAATAGGCAGGGTATTGGTACCTACCCGTACGGACTCACAAGAGGTCCTATCACCAGTAAAAATAATCTTGTTACAAGATACCAAAATGGTGGTGATATTTACATTCAAATCTCTATAAATATAACCCACTTACAATGAAAAAGTCTTAATTTAAGTCAAAGAACAGAATCTTATGCCCATACCGTAGCGGTAACATTGATCCTGGCAGTCCAGTGACCTCCGTGAGCTCCTCCTGGTGTCTTCACGAAACTGGTAACAATCTGATGAGGGGGATCCGATATCAGCTGTTCTCCGAAAGTCACACCATCATGTCGGAGCCACCCATACGTAGGTAAGTTGTCACCCTGATCGCACCAGTGTCTGGAAAAAGACTTTCTCGTTTTTATGTTGCCCTAGTACTTTTTAAAAATTAAAGAAACGATTCAATCATCATTTCATTTCAACTTTTTATTGCTTACTAGTGGTCTCGCAGTAGTCGAAATTCGACTATAATTAATTGGAATTGTAAGTTTGTACACTATTATGATTATAATAGCGACCCGCCCTCGCTTCGCTTCGGAAACATTAAAACACACATGAAACAAAAAAAAAAAATTAAAATTTTTTTTTAAAAAGTAGCCTATGTTCATCAGGGACAATGTCGGCTTCTAATGGAAAAAGAATTTTTAAAATCGGTCCAGTAGTTTCGGAGCCTATTCGAAACAAACAAACAAACAAATCTTACCTCTTTATAATATTATAGATTTATACTTCTATAATCACAAATTTCGCCAAGGCTATACTATTTTTTTTTTTAATAAAGACAAACAATATTGAATCTATTCTCAATTTGACCACAGACGTCAAGAACAAAAGTTTGACAATAAATAGTATGCATGCGTGTGTGCGTCAAATACATGGTATGTAGTGTGTGTAATGTTTTATTTATTGATTTAATGTATCTTTTATGCATTATTTTTAAAAAAAATTAGCATTGCTCACTTCTTCTCTATATTCTCTATAAAAGTGTGGAAAATTTCATACTCCTCTGTCCGCGCAATTTTCGTAAAAAGGGATACAAAGTTTTTGTTTCACATATTAATATATAGTACTTTTTAAAAATTAAAGAAACGATTCAATCATCATTTCATTTCAACTTTTTATTGCTTATGACATCCTGGTACTTTTGCATTGATGTATTCAACTTCTTCATCATCATCAGTGTACAGATGTCCACTGACTGATACAGGTCTCCAGCATAGTTTGCCATAATGACCAGTCCTGCACTAACCACATCCAGCCAAGCCGTATAAATAACCCCACTAGCAACAGCCACTAACCTGATTCCTTTTTGAGCAGCAGCAGCAAGCTCATACCACATTAGACCAAAAACTGGGGACCATGGCTCCCGACTTTTCATACCTAAGTATACACCAGGTCTGTACGTGCCCCAATATCGATCAGGCACCTCAAGACCAGATTTTTGTACAACCTGAAAAATGTAATCTTTAATATTTTTGGTTCTAGGCTTAGACAGATAAACGAGCTCACGTGTTGGGTGGTTAAGTGCAGCCCATAGACATCAACAGCCTTAACACCGGGAGTCACTTTGAGAGATGAGTCTAATATCTCAGCTTTTACAGTACGACAGCTATTCACCCTTTAAATTGCAATGCATTACTTTTGGGTGGCAGTACTTAATCCTATGAGCTCACAACCTTACCATTAGTACACAAACTATATTTTCAGCGGGTTTTATTATTATTACATGATGTTTATACGTCATAAAAGAAATTCGTGAATGTGTGTTAGGTACATATTTCATTACAAAAATAGGGATTAGTTGGATAAGAACACCAGCACAGTTGCATCACTAATTACAAACTAGATGATGACCGAGCATTGCTCATTTTTTTTTTATAACGCCATCTTGTTGTGTCTTGAAAGCAGTAAAAATAGTATTATTATTCGCCAATAGATGTCGGGAAGAGTTGATTATTGAAAACACGAATAAAACAACATTTTCTGAAAATAAATCGTAGCTAGATCGATCTATCGCCCCCGAAATCCCCTGTATACTAAATTTTATGAAAATCGTTGGAGCCGTTTCCGAGATTCAGATTATATATATACAAGAATTGCTCGTTTAAAGGTATAAGATACACCAGACATCTTTTCCTTTAGTTCAGTAGTTCACAATGAATTCTTTAGCTTCATGTCACCATGGCCAATGTCAGTAGTCGGCAACCTGCGACTCTTTGACTCCTCGGCTCCGAATCTTCCGCTAAATGTTTTGTTCAAACACAGAATATTACTTATTATCTTGCCTTGTAAAAGACAAGTAAACATTTTTGAAACACAAAGCTATAAAAATATATGTAAGAAACATAGCTATTTAAATAAATTTCAAATTTTTGTGCAACCTTGTCAACCAAAAGAATCAAATATTGATAATATTTGGTTCTTTTGGTCGACAAGGTTGCCCACCACTGCCCTATGTTAATTTAAATTCCATTTAATCTCAATTATATTATTAACATTTTCTTGTTTCCATTGTAGCAAATAGTTCCAGTTTTTATAGTTACTGAACACTAAAATATTATTCCTTGATATTTGAATATTGAAATACAATGTTTATAAATTAGTTTTTGCATTGAATGTTTTTGTTTGCCAGGGATTTGTTTTTTATATTAGCAGCGGTCCACCTGGTGGTCAGTGGTTACCATCACTACTGGGCGTCAGCAGTACCATGGGCACAACCAAGCCTTTGCCTATATGTTCTTCTTCTCAGATTTTAATTTTTCTAAACTAGAAATAATCTTCCTTCACTGCAAACAATTTTATTGCGTCTGATGACACTAATTCCCTGATCATTTTTAGGGTGAAGTACAGGGTTTAGGCAGCGGCTTGGCTCTGCCCCTGGCATTGCTGACGTCCATGAGCGACGGTAACCACTCACCATCAGGTGGGCCTTATCCTCGTCTGCCTATAAGGCAATAAAAAAAAAAAACCCCGAGGTTATTCATATTTTGATGAAAGTTCTAGAAACAATTTTGACTACTTATCATCACACAGACAAGATAGAAAAAGATAAGTTAGTTATAATAGTACGACTTATCCATTACAGCGTGTCAATATTGTGTAATTATAGTGTAGCAACATTTGTATCACCATCGCAGGTCTCTTTTATAGGCTGATAAAATGTTATTTGACATTGATTAACTGTTCTACTGATAATGCTTAAAGAATTTTATCAAATCAGGTTTGATATGCCAGAAGTATTGAGTATTTTTATGGCATGAACCATAAATGAAGGGATTAGAATTTAGTAAATGAAGATTTTTTTATTAAATTAATACAGACTGACACCATCACTCTCTATCACTGTGGCAAGATTCAGTATATAGGTGGAAAAGTGGATTCATGATAGAATACTGAACAATAAAAAAAAATGGGCGTACGTCTTGGTGCATGTGAAACTTCTTTTGCGGTGTGTAGTATTGTGGTTTTCTTCATTTTTCATCCTTACATCAAATTTCTCTTGCAATAGGGAATACTGTGTATAAGAGAAACAACCTAGCTCGCTTTGTCCTCACCCTCTCTCCACAGTCAAGTGGTTCGCGAGACGCTCTAGAGAAAATAGTTCTCAGTCTTGCTCTTTCTAAATTATATCTTTTCTCTCGAGCCCTCGAGCCGTAACAAATCTGTCGCGAATTAAATTTTACTCTCAATGCACCTAAAGAAGTTTCACTTCCATAGTCATTGTTTACTAGCATATTTGTATATCTAAATCCGTACTTGTGATGATAAATATATAATTAAAACACATTTTCTTTTTTATACAGCACTCTTTTTTTTCCTTCTGAATATTTTTTTCTTATTTTGTACATTGTCAAAAAAATTTGTTGGCTTTTGATTCTGTCTTTGTGGGCTAGATGCCTTTACATTTACCATCTGTGGCCTCTCGTTACCATTTAATAAAGGAAGGGCTGAAGCTCACCCACTCGGCTATCTAAGCGTAATTAATACTTCAAACCACGTGATTAAACTGTAAAACTGTTTTATAATAATAATAATAATAAACATTTATTCCAAACACAAATTAAGTACAAAAAATAAATAAAAAAGATAACAAAAATAACGAGGCTTGGAAACGGTTACCGGCTCAGCAATGCCTAACAGTATCAAGACAATCGGTACTGCGGCGCTGATCTTCCGCCGGCACCTGCGGAGTGACGCGCACACCAGCATCAGACCGACCAATACACATCATTGTAAAATATATTAAAAAATAAATTTTTCACCTTATTACTTGATTTTCTCTTTAAGAGCTTGTAGTGACTAGGCCATTTCCACATGTTAGTAGAAAGACTTGGACCTATTGGGAAGAAGTCAAAAAAGAAAAGCAGGAATGAAAGATGATCATGGCAAAATTAGGAGAGAATAAAATATACATGTTTTTTTTTGTATTTTACGTAACGAAATATGACAATAATATAAACTCTATTTAGATAAGAGTTTAATTTAAGAAACCGTATAAGTATAGAAACTATTTATTGGTGACCTGTTAAAGTTTCTAAATATGTCATGTAATTAACTACACCTTTCCTGATTGTCAAAATATATTGTTGAAGTCTTCGTGGCCTAAAGGATAAGACGTCCGGTGCACTTGTATCTAGTGATGCAACAGTGTTTTAATCCTGCAGGCGGGTACCAAATTTTTGTAATGAAATACATACTTAACAAATGTTCACAATTGACTTGCACTGTGAAGGAATAACAACATGTAATAAAAATTATAATTTGCGTAATTACTGCTGATAGGATGTCTTGTGAGTCTGCTGGGTAGGTACTACCACCCTGCCTATTTCTGCTGTGAAACAGTTATAGGTTTTGGTTTGAAGGGTGGGACAGCCGTTGTACTGAACTGGACACCTTGGAACTCATGTCTCAAGGTGGATGGCTGCATTTACGTTGTAGATGTCTGTGGACTCTGGTAAACACTTAACACCAGGTGGGCCGTGACCTCGTCCATGCACCTAAGCAATAAAAAAATATATTTAAGAAATGGTTTTTTTAAGCTCAATTAATTCACTTGATTATTAGAAATAATGGCAATTCTTTGTTGTTTTTTTTGTCTTAATGAATAGACAACTTCACCTCATACTTGGTGTTAAGTGGTAACAGGAACCTGGAAAATTCCACAGTAAGAATAATATTGTTTTTTCTCAGCACCCCAAACTGGTGTGATCAGTGATTCAACATCTTAGTCAAGTATAAGAAAATGTGCGAATGGTGGCCTGGACTATTAAAATTAAACTCTAGTACTTCAGATGTACTGTTCTAGCGTCATTATATGAAATCAAATGTAAAAAATAAATAAAAAATAATAATGATTTTGTCTTACCTTAACGTCGTCAAACGGCGTGTTTACTCTCGTCTCTAAGTAACCCACCACACCGCCGTATATGGCCACTACTAAACATATAAAACCAACCAAAGTTTTCCACAGAGACAGTATTTTAAATGGTTTTTTTTCTACCGAAATATCACTGGAACCAGAACTACTACTGGTTTCATTATTAGAACTTTTATGCGGCTCTTTACCGCCTTTTCTGTGTCTGACCATCGTAAATATAAAGTATATTGACTAAATAAAAAAACTTAGATAAATAAATTGACACGTCTTTTTAATTTCAATTAAAATCTACATTGATTACAGACTCCACCCGGCTATGTGGAATGCACAAAATTTGTGCCACAAATGACAGTTTTGGTGTAGGAGAGATTAACCCGACTTGAACAACTACTCGACTAAGATTTAAATACCGATAAATATCGATTCTAAATTAACTAAAATTCAAAACAGGAAAGTTGAAGTATAACATTGTAATAAATATATGAAACAAAAAGTGGAATGTATTTATTATTGAATGGCTTACGTCGAAAATGAAACCAAAATAAAGTTTTTTTTTTTCCATTTATTAACTTTTAATATTCTTTATAAATTATTTTGCTATAAGCACAATATAATTAGTTAAAAATTTATTATGTTACTTAATAAAAGTATAATTAAGTCAATTAAAATGGAAACCAGATAGCAGTAGTTGCTAAAAATTCTCACGTAAATTCAACATAACGCTGCTGCATACAATTTACGTAATTTGGAACCAAAACCAAAGTTGAATTAACTATATAACTATTATTATTGTTTCTGAGAATGCATGATAGAACTTGAAGCATCGCTGTCATTGTGATCCAAATTGGGCAATTGTGACTACGCACCGGTCACGGCTAGACGTCTTGAATATCTTTATCCAAGTCCATATCTATTATAAATTACATAATTCATGTCCCTAGGTACTTGCCGAATAAATATAAAACGCTTATATTTATAGGAAAGCCTGCTCTCTCGAAACTGGGTCTTTGCTCTTTTTTAAACAGAATCCTTTAGTACTATAATAAAGTCCACTGCAGCCCAGCCTCCAGTCTGTCAGTCAGTCAATGGTCGCTCGGAGCTGTACAATTAAACTTATTTGATTGTAAGCCATTAAATAAATGTTTTTTTTCTAATTGTCGTACTGCGCCTTGGAAAAATCTGGCGANGGAAAGCCTGCTCTCTCGAAACTGGGTCTTTGCTCTTTTTTAAACAGAATCCTTTAGTACTATAATAAAGTCCACTGCAGCCCAGCCTCCAGTCTGTCAGTCAGTCAATGGTCGCTCGGAGCTGTACAATTAAACTTATTTGATTGTAAGCCATTAAATAAATGTTTTTTTTCTAATTGTCGTACTGCGCCTTGGAAAAATCTGGCGAAGGCTATTTCCCGTCTAAATAAAACTTACTCAAAAGAATGGATCAAACCAATCGTAATCAAGTATGATATATATTATTGTATGTAAGTATGAGATATATTTACTGTTGGTAGGACCTCTTGTGAGTCCGCGCAGGTAGTTACCACCACCCCGTCTCTTTCCGCCCTGAAGCAGTAATGCATTTCGGTTTGAAGGGTGGGGTAGCCGTTGTAACTATACTGAGGTCTTAGAACTTATATCTCAAGGTGGTTGGCGCATTTACATTCTAGATGTCTATGCGCTCCAGTAACCACTTAACACCAGATGGGCTGTCAGCTCGTCTACCCATCTAAGCAATAAAAAAATATTGTAGTTTTCATGATTTTGTGACTTAGCAGAAATTTTGTTGTTCCGATCTTTATAATCGTTCATTTTAAAATCGTTCAAATTATTATTTTTGAAGTGAAACTTCTTTAGGCGCATGAGGGTAAAATTTTTACAGAACGTCACGCAAGTATGCAACGGAAGTGACATCAAACTACTATTGAAATTAAGTACTTGTCAAATGTCAGTAGTAGTAGTAGTTGTTGTATTTTTCCAACTGGAAAGGCAAATGTATCATACCATACAGCCTAATGTTTTATTATTTTTTTGTGAAAAATATAGGAATTGAAATGAAATGAAAAGAATTTGGAACATTAATCAAATAGCATAAAATTAAATTAGTCAATTCAATTGGCAAAATATTAGTCATTTACAATTTAGAAATCTAAACATAATGTGACTGTCAACACTGAGGTTTGAGATTGACATTTGACAGACTTTTGGCGGGAACATATCTTCCTTTTTCCCTTCCTCTAAGTCTCGGAAAAACGCCATAAACCTAAGAGATAGATAGATAAGTCTCGGAAATCTAAAGTTTTAGATTTGTAGAATAAGCAAGACTTATAAATTAGTTCGCCAAAAAAGTTTCACTTCTGACATGTGTACTTTGTACGCACGCACTTTTTTTAACATTTTAACATACTGTGACCCATTGCACTGTCGTTTGTACCTCCAATTATAATTGAGATGATATTTAACTTCCTTTCAAATCGTCGATGTTCAAAATTGATAATCACTTTGTTGATACAACTACAATAAATAAATAAATGAATAAACTTTCCTGCGTTACATTTTATTCATCTCCTCGGGCCCCAGCCCGCCCTTCGTGCGGCCAACGATCGGAGGCGCTGGCGGAACATTACAAGGAGCAAAATCCTGTCGACATATAATGGTCACGACCCTCAGCAGTGCGGAAACGACGCGAAGCGGGGCCCAGAATTGCTATGCGGATCTTTTTTTACTAAGGCGCAGCAATCGGATAGTATGTGATCCCTACAGGGAGTTTTCTCTAGTTTAGTCGTAAAATCATTTCAGGTACAATTAAGTTCATTCTTATAGACCACCAGGAGTTTCATATGCTAGTCAGCTGTTTGATGATCGCCGAACAGCAAGGCATATTTAGGTGTATCGTCTTGCAGATCAAATTGGATCCTAAATTTTCATTTTCGAAATTTCGCGTTAGATTGAATAGTCTAATATAGCCTTATAACAACATGTGGTAAATATTTTGATGCCCAGAATATATTACAATGTTTATTGACTACCAACGGAGCAAACACAGCCCTTCGTATCATCCGCCAGGAACTGATTTCAAACAATGATGCAGAACGACATGCCATAAGCTTGTCTTTTAAAAAGTTGTTAAAATATTGTAAAATATTCTAATCAACTTGAACACATTTAAGAAATTAAGATATTCTCAAATGTTTATACTATTTCCGGATTTTCTAATCATGAAAAATACAAGATTAAATAGTACCTGCAGATTATAAAGTACCTATAAATAAATATTTCTATGTTCTTAATTCATTAATCAAACAAAATCTTATCAGTAATTTTGCAACGTTGGAAATAACACGTTAGCATAGTGATGGGTAATTTCATAGTTAGTCGATTTTCTGTTGCGTGAGCAAAATTAAAACTTCAAGGTTTTTTTTATTGCTCAGATTGTCGGACGAGCTCATAGCCCACCTGGTGTTAAGTGGTTACTGGAGCCCATAGACATCTACAACGTAAATGCGCCACCCACCTTGAGATATAAGTTCTAAGGTCTCGGTATAGTTACAACGGTGGCCCGTCCTTCAAACCAAAACGCGTTATTGCTTCACGGAAAAAATAGGGGGGGGGGTTGTGGTATCTACCCGTGCGGACTCATAAGAGGTCCTACCACCAGTAAAAAAGTAGCACTACTCATTTCACATTTGTCTTCTAGGATTTACTTTTGATACTGGCTAGTAGGTCAGAAGTAGATAGCTGTGCTTAAGACAAAAAGAAGACTCATAAGTTAATCTGAAGTTAATTTATTCATTGTCTACCTGAAGAAAGCCCTGTGAGCAAATATATTTACAAGGCTGTCTGTTACCTACCATTTTGTGGTTTTTCCAACGAAAACTACTTCATTTTTTATAATTAGGAACAATGTTAGTAAACTTAATTCCAATGCTGATTAAATTTAAAAAAATGTTTTATTTTATTTTTTACACATACACAGCTATNTTAAAAAAATGTTTTATTTTATTTTTTACACATGCACAGCTATCACCGGTTTCAAATTAAAGGGTAATTATTATTAAGTAATTACATACAAGCGTAGGTAATTGTTGTTGGAATTTTATTGACACACCCAAAAATGAAAACCCTGTTGTCATTATTATTAGAACAGATAAAAAAAAGAGGAAACGTTTTTTTTTTTTTTTTACGTAATAAATAAATATGTAAACAAGTCAAGATTAAACATTCAATGAATCTTGTAGGTTTTGCCTGTCGGACCTGCTACCATCAGAAACAATTACAATAAATTTTGCGGGTTGTATTTTTATTAGTATTCTTTTCAAGTCGTTCCTGAAGTCTTGGTAGGTACGTAGCAGGTACGTGTACAGTGAAAAATGCTACCTGGCAAAGGTACCTGTGTGCTTAGTGCGAGTTTTTTAACGTTCTCGTTAGCGTAAAAGTTAGCCCAATTTTGTATGCAGTTGGAACAGCGCCCCTTGTGGCAAACGTAGGCAAACGATTTCATTCCATACAAATATGAGCTAACTTTTACGCTATCGAGAACGTTAAAAAACTCGCACTGAGCACAGTGAACCTAGATGTAATCGCATCAGTATAAATATCTCTTTTTATTTCCCTACCTATGCTGATAGCCTTGAGAGGCTATATCAGCGTTACCCTAGCGTGTAGGTAAGCTCTCAGGGCTCAAACCGGCGGTGTTAATACTGTAACACTGGCCCTAGCAAGAGCAGTGCTTCGCAGAATCTACCACCGGATCGGAAACGCAACCCACTGAGAAGATCCGGCGAGAAACTCAGCGGACTGTGTCTATGGGTTAATTTACCAAGCCCTTTGTCGCAGGCAACGGGTTCGGTGAGGACGATGACCGGTGCTTGAGGTACCTAAAAGCACCGTTAATGGATCGGGAAGATCCGTTTTAGGGCGACGTCGACTGTTTACCATTCGGTCCACAGGATCGAGTATGGATATCACTGATTGTTTTGCTTAATATTCCACGGGCACATCTGTGTATCTGTGCCAACTTTTATAGTAATTATGTTTGCCGCGCCTAAGAATAAAAGTGGCATCATAATTATTTTGTTAAGTATCAGTCAATTCTGTTCTAAGGGCTTGCAACGCTTACTTTGATGAAATGCGCGGTCAAAATGATATTCATTCGCAATAAAACCTATAAATACTAAACTTATAACGTGTGAATATATCGGCTCCCAAAATTCATGACTCCATAATTTTACGGGTTCGGGGATTACTTACCTAAAATGCACATAGTACCGAAATAAGACAAAACGAAGATTATTATTAGGACTTAAATTAATTCCTAATAAGCTAATAAAAACGTATGCGTACTGTAAAGTTTGTAGGTATAAAAATTTATTGTTTAATTTTTAGCATTCATTGGTTTAGAACATGATTGAGACTTTAAAGTGGCTTGAAGCGCTTTCGATGGGACCACAATGAAAAATTAAAACCGAACTAATATAAGATAGGACAATATTGTATACGTAATAAATATGCTATTTAAGTGTATATATAAAAAAAAACTTTATTCTACTGAGGCTTATCGTTTGGTCTGTTAAATCAACAATGTTGTCCATATGGCATCATTTCAAGAACTTACTGCGAAAACAAAGTATCAAAGAAATATAATAATATAACGGAGTGTTTTTTTATAAAATAGTATCATTGACAGAAATAACATATTATTATGAGATAGATGACACAAAATTTACTTCTATTAATATAAACATATTTTAATGAAATTGCGTCTCGTATAGGTGGACTGAAAAAAAAATTCGTTGGAGGGGTGGACGTGCTCACAGCCCACCTGCTGGTAAGTGGTTACGTGAGCCCATAGACATCTACAAAGTAAATGCCGCCACCCACCTTGAGATACCTATATTAGATGTATATTGAGAGAGCTTTCTAAGGTCAGTATTGTACATATCGTCATTTAATATTACTTGTTAAACAGTCAAATTCAATCTCTTTGCCTATAGTTATATCTTAATTTACATAGTCTCAAACAAAAATAAAGGATTATCAACAAATTCATCACATTTAATTAAACTTAATATTTTTAATATTTTGTTAGCCGTAAATAATCGCTTTATGAGTTTTGCTTGAAGCGCTTTACTTGTAAAAAGTCACCGCGCCACCTGTCCGTCGTGTTCGTCGCTACAACGGCCCTCGGTCGGGCGCGCGTCGTCAAAACAGGCGTCCCCCCGCAGCGGCGCACCCGCCCGACGCGACCCCCGACGTTACCCAGTACGATCGAGCGACACACGCCGCGCGTACTTCTCATCCACATACACAATGCGCCACGCTACGCGACTGTCATGAGGCGAACGCTAACATTTTCCTCAAGTGATCAGTGAAATAATGTAAAACATTGCGTCGTAACTCGCTCGAGCAAGCCGCGGTCTCGCTACCTGCGCGCCCGTCCTCGCACCGGCCGGCAGACGCTGCACGCGACAACGCCAACAAAAAAAAAAAACTAAAATTCGATGTCAGTGATCGTGAGGATTCCAGTGTCAGTGTAGTGTGTAGTTTTAAAATAGTATGGATAAACGTCGTGCGATGTTCGTATGAGGAAGAAGAGCAACAGGAACATCGTAAGTGTGGAAGAGCTTGGGCTCAGTGTTATTACTGTTGTGTTGGGGCAGAAATGCGGGGTAGTTCGCCCCGGTGCCCGGAGGTTTTAACATACGAGTGGGGCGGCCGCCGCTGAACGAACCACGGAGGTACGGAGGTCTATCCCTCGTATGCTCACTTTTTTTTTTTTTTAAATCGCAATCGAAACTAAGCAAGACTTTTTTCGTAACCCCTTTTTTGTGCGGCGCATATTTTGGAGGGAATGTTTACGAATCGATATCTTGTAGGTTATGTGCGCCTGGTATTCGTTCGAGTGAGACTGTATAATATTTTTTTTTATCACGTGAAAACCAGTTTTGTTGTTTGAATCTCGCTCGAGACATTCGTGTGTAGTAATGATGTTATTTTATTCTATTTTAGAATCCGGCTCGGTGGATTTTTGTCCATAAAACTTAACTACGCGGACTCAACTGAATTCTTAGTCACACATATAACGTACAATTATAAATAAACACATCATGTAATCCACTCGGATAATATAAATGCGTTATAAGTTTATTTGTGTAACCTCAAAACCGGTTTATCTAAGGTACCGAGAGAGACAGAGAAACCATCGTGATAATTCTCACTCAAACATCATTGGAGCAGTCCAAAAATCAAAATGATCAACCCTATCTTCTAGTAAACCAAATATTATTGTTTACACAACAATATCAACACAACAAAACAAAATTTTATGGTTACATTTCTAAGTCGAGGGATCTGCTTTTTTCTTGTTATTGAGATATAAATAACGTTCAATCTTTGATAATTCGGTGCTTAGAGCAAAAAAAAGTGATTTTTGTTTTGCTTTTTACGACTTTAAATAATCACTTATGATTTGAATGATGATAACACGCGCTTGCCGAATGACCTTTACCCTACCCAAATTAATGTTATTAAAGCAATATATTTATCTACGTAAAACTGCGCGTTGATTGTCTGTAGCGACATGACAGTAGCAATGTCTGGTCATTGTTAATTGATCAAGGTCGCAGATTCCTTTGCCAACAACATGTATGTATACTTTATAATTCGACACAAAGTATTTAGCTTTTTTTTAATGCTTAGATAGGTGGACGAGCTCACAGCCCACCTGGTGTTAAGTGGTTACTGGAGCCCATAGACATCTACAACCGTAAATACGCCACCCACCTTGAGATATAAGTTCTAAGGTCTCAGTATAGTTACAACGGCTGCCCCACCCTTCAAATTGAAACGCATTACTGCTTCAGGGCAGAAATAGGCAGGGTGGTGGTACCTACCCGCTTGGACTCACAAGAGGTCCTGTAATGGAGGATTAGCTGCTGTTTTTGTTTAAAAAAAAACACGAATTAAACTGTTATTTGCTAGGTAGACTAGCTCGCGGTCTGTCTGATGTTAGGCGGTCGCCAGACCTCATATATTTATTACGTATTTATGGATTATACTGTTTAGAACGGAATCTCATGAGATAGTGAACATTGCATCTCCCTTGAGTGGCAATGCGTCATCAGGTGAGCTGAGTTCGTTTATCGATCTCCGCTGGCTTTTTACAGGTCCATGGGCAGCTCGCTCGAGATCGGTTATTATTCTACTCGGAAAACGATAATAATCGATCTAATCGATGTAAAAATTCTTCGCCAATTTACGACGAAACAACAATGAGAATAATCTTGATAAAATTGATAAAGACAATTGATAATTACAATAAATTCACGTGTTTTGTTAAGAAATACGATAAAAGAGCGAATGTTTTAGTGACACCTGTCAACGGGGAAATATTGTTTTGACTGACTTTAATTCAAACAAATGCTTTAATATCCAATGCTAATGTCAAACGAATTATTTGATAATGGAGGGAAGGAAGCGAAGGTGTGAATAGAAAAAAAAACAAATTGCTATCTTAACATCTGCCGTTTGTCGAGAAGGACTGTAGGAATTGTTAATAATACATATTAAGGATAGGTAAATCACTACATAGTATAAAACAAAGTCGCTTTCTCTGTCCCTATATCTGTCTCTATGTATGCTTAATTACATCTTTAAAACTGCGCAACGGATTTTGATGCGTTTTTTTTAATAGATGAGTGATTGAAGAGGAAGGTTTATATGTATAATAACATCCATTAAATAGTGGAGAAATCAATAATAAATTACAGTTTCCGAAGCGAAGCGAGGGCGGGTCGCTAGTGTATGTATAAATGTAGGATTGGTAAGAACGGAACGTAGGAATTAGTTTGGAATGGAGCGTTAAGATATGAGTGAGAGAAAAAGATAAGAAAGGGAAAAGAGAATGGACAGAACAAAAGAAAGAAAGATGGCGGAGACGGTTAAAATGAGCAAGGCGTAATGTAAATTGTATTATAGAAGATTTTGGAAAAGGAGAATAAAAGTGAAACAGTGGAATAATTTTGTTTTATCCGCCACTGTCCTCATTCTACACATTATATAGTAAGTTTTTTTATGTAAAAGCCTTTACATGCATTGGGCTCTTCAAGCACTGGTCACCGTTCTCGTCGACTCCGACGAAGAGTTCGACGCGTGAACTAGCCCATAGACACAGCCCGCTGAGTTTCTCGCTGGATTTTCTGAGTGGGTCGAGATTCCGATCCGATGGTAGAATCAGCGAAGCACTGCTATTGCTAGGGCCAGTGTTAGCAATTCTCTCAGGTTGAGCCCGTGAGCTCACCTACACGTCTGGGCGTAACTGGAATAACCTCTTAGGGTCTGGTGTGACTCGGTCGCTGCGCCGTAGAGCTCCATTAAATTAATAAAGGAACAAACTTCCTACACGGAACCCGAAATTAGAGAATATCATCATCATTCTCCTGCCCTTCTCCCAGTCACCTGGGCTCGGCGCAACATATTTTCTCCTTCCATACTCTTCTATCATATACCATTTCTTCGCTCACTTCTTACACATATCGTCTTTCACGCAATCCATCCATTTCTTCTTAGGTCTACCTCTTCTTCTATATCCTTCCAGATTCATAGTTGACACTCTCTTACCAACCTCATTTTCATTTCGTCTCATCACATGTCCATACCATCCCAAACGCGCCCTTCTCAGCTTCTCTGTCACAGGTGCCACTTTCAGACTTCCTCTAACATATTCATTCCGTATTCTATCCATTCTCGTTACTCCACACATCCATCGCAACATCCGCATCTCTGCTGCATGCAATCGCCTTTCTGCCTGCCAAAACTTAGAGCAACATGAGAGGGAATAAAAAGAAGAGCACCGAAATTAGAGAATATGCACATTGAAAATACCGGTACAGTTTTGTTTTCAAATCTAACACTTTTTCTTCGCGCGTTCTGACGCTATAGCATTCAATTCTAACACAAACTCCTTGTGCGTAACAAGAGTGGAACTATAGTCCAGCCGCTGAAATGTGGCTTTCCTGGTGGTATGGGCAGAATCGATAATAAAGTTACGAAAACATAAAAGCGCCACTAAAGGCCCGTTAGAATTTATTTTGCTTTGATTGGGTATAAAGTGACGGAATGGTTGTCACCGTGACAATTTAGGGTACATGTTGTAATTTCCCGGTAATTTTGATTAGCCTGTAGCATTAATTAGCTGATGAACTGTAGCAGGATATAATAGCCCGCTTGTTAAGGCAATATAATATACGGATAGATTATCGAAACATCACTAGTATGGTGAGTCCGGAAGGATAAAGAATTCGAGTCAGACTTACCTTTTTCACGACCTTAATAGATAGACGGCTTAGTTGTCAGTTATTACCGTCGCACATTGACATTGGCAATGTCAGTGGCACGGCCAAGCAGCTATCTACTGTTGAGCGCACTGCTCAAGTATAGTTTGAAGAACGACGTGTCATAGCACTCGGGAAACACCGCGGAGGGGAGCTCAATCCAGACCATTTTTACTGGTGGTAGGACCTCTTGTGAGTCCGCGCGAGTAGGTACCACCACCGTGCCTATTTCTGCCGTGAAGCAGTAATGCGTTTCGGTTTGAAGGGTGGGGCAGCCGTTGTAACTATACTGAGACCTTAGAAACCAGGAGGACTGTGAACTCGTCCACCCACCCAAGCAATGCTCTGAGGGATTGTTTGAGATAATCTCCTTTTTATCATCGCACCTCCCGCCATCGGAGCAGAGTTCATCCATATTATCTGGAGCCACTGCGTTCATCGACTGTGCGTTTCCAGAGGTCTTTTTTGCCACGCACCATCCGGCTATGCAATGAGCTCCCCTCCACGGTGTTTCTCGAGCGCTATGACATGTCCTTCTTCAAACGAGACTTGTGGAGAGTATTAAGTGGTAGGCAGCGACTTGGCTCTGCCCCTGGCATTTCTGAAGTCCATGGGTGACGGTAACCACTCACCATCAGGTGGGCCGTATGCTAGTCTGCCTACAAGGACAAAAAAAAAAACAATTAAAAAAAAATACCCGAATGGTATGATGACCAAAATGATGACGAATGATTAAGAATATCATGGCGTTTGTTTATTGTTGATTGAAGTTTGAAAATATTTTAATTGGCTTGACCTTGACCGTGGATGGTGGATGGATGTAGGCAGCGCAGGACCGATCCTTGTGAGGCTTGAGGGAGAGCTATATCCAGTACTGGACGTGTGTGGTGGGCTGTGAGCTCGTCCACCTACCTAAGCAATAAAAAAAAAAAAACAAAAAAAAAAACTCCAACTTCGTGTGTCAAAGCGAGTGGCGACGTTTACGTTTTGATGTCCATGGACTCCGTTCGCTTATCTTCAAGAAAAAAGCCTTGAATAATCGGCAAGGTGATATTCTACAGCAGGTGGACATATCGCCCGTACAAATATCCATCTGCCCACACACCAGGTGTAAATTTATGCCCTCCAAATAAACTCTGATAAGTAAAAATACACCGAAATAATTAAACAATTAAGTTCTTAATACAAAAACGTTTCTTCAGAAAGAACCAATCAAGGATCCAAGTTCTTATTGATCGATCAGAGTGTGTCCTTTAACTTCTGTGCTTCTATGCTTC